TAGATCAGGCTGGCCTCCAACTCACAGAGATTCACCTGTCGCTGCCTCTGAGTGCTGGAACTAAAGATATGCACTACCACCACCCAGCCATGGCAACACTTATAAAGGAAAGCATTTGATTGGGGAGGGTTTATAGTTTTAGAGGTTTAGTTCATTGTCATCGTGGTGGGGAGCTTGGTGGTATGTAGGCAGACATGGTGCTAAAGAGTAATTGAGAGCTCTACATCTGAATCTGCAGGCAGCAGGAAGGGAGAGAGCTGCTGGGCCTGGCTTGAGCTTCAGAAATGTTGAAGCCCACCTTCAGTGACATACTTCCTTCAGTAAGGCCATACCTCCTCATCCTTCCAAATATTGCCACTCCCTGGTTACTAATCATTCATATCTATGAGATTGTGGGAGCCATTCTTATTCAAACCACCACACTATGTATGGAAGTAACCAACCACCCTCTTGATTGTATTTGAGGTCACAGGAAGGTGTTCATGCCTGATACTGTAGACATGATCAAAACCCATGGCTAGGGAAGTTATAGGCTCTTTTGGAGAACCCATTGATATTGGAGGAAGGAGAGGAATGCTGTTAAATGTTTTCTCTGGACATGACATGGCTCTTTGTCGTGTGGCATTTTCCTTAGAATTGAAACATTCCTTCTGGGCAGGAAGGGGAGGCTCATGAGACTTAGGAGGTAAACAAATAGTCATAAGTCTGGGAGAACATAAACTTGGAAGATTCTTGAAGGCCCCTTGTCCGAGTATTAAAAGGAGTGAAAGACTGATGGATGAAGAGACTAGCTGAGCTGGAGGGAGATTCTTAGATTGGCAGCTGCTACAGGCTGTGTAAAGAGCTCCAAGGTTACAGTCTTTGTGAGTTGTCACCTGTGTTGGGGTGAGCTTTTCAGTGATGCAGCTGCTTTTAACTCATCCTTGTTCCATGTGACCCATACTCCTGTTAGTGACAATAAAAACTTTGGTTCATTAAGTTGAACATTGGTATGATCTTTACTTTGATCTCTTGTGGGTTCCTTTTTGGGGGTGAAGAGATATTTGTGTGCAGTGTTTCCCCCAAAAAATGTCATGAATGTTGCTTATTCCAGACATTTCATGTAAATGAATCCATAGAATGGGAGACACTTATATGTATATTTTTTCCGTGTAGTGTTAAAATTCAGAGTTCATCTCTGTTGCAATATGCTATTAGCACTTTGTTTCTTTTTTCTTCATTCAGTTGATGAACATTTGAGCTGTCACTTTTTGCTGTTATGAATAATTTTGGCATGAGCATTTGTATACAAGACTTGTGTAGACATATGTTTTTACTCCTTTGAGGAATGTGTCAAGAAATAGAATTGTTACATCCTATAGTAACTCTGCTAAACTGTTCTTGAAACTGGCTTTAGATTTATAGTCTCACAAATAACATTTAAAGGATCCAATTTCCTGTATTATTTTATTTAATTATGACTGGTATTTTGAAAGATTTTCTGTTGACCTTAGATCAATTTAGGAAGCATTGCCACCTTGAGACTATTAAATTCTTCCAAGCCTAGAATTGATGTGATTTTTCTGTTTAGACCTTCTTTAAAATTTTTTTTAAATTTATTTATTTATTAAAAATTTCCACCTCCTCCCATTTCCTTTCCACTCCCCCTTTCCCTCCCTCTCCAGTCCTAAGAAAAGTCAGGGTGCCCTGCCCTGTGGAAAGTCCAAGGCCCTCCCGCCTCCATCCAGGTCTAGGAAGGTGTGCATCCAAACAGACTAGGCTCCCAAAAAGCCAGTACATGCAGTAGAATCAAAACCCAGTGGTATTATCATTGGCTTCTCAGTCAGCCCCCATTGTCAGCCACATTCAGAGAGTCCGGTGTGATCACATGCTCGTTCAGTCCCAGTCCAGCTGGCCTTGGTGAGCTCCCATTAGATCAGTCCCACCGTCTCTGTGGGTGGACGCACCACTCTCAGTCCTGACTTCCTTGCTCATGTTCTCCCTCCTTCTGCTCTTCATCTGGACCTTGTGAGCTTAGTCCAGTGCTCCAATGTGGGTCTCTGTCTCTATCTCCATCCATTGCCGGATGAAGGTTCTATGGTGATATACAAGATATTCATCAGTGTGGCTATGGAAGAAGGCAAGTTCAGGCACCCTCTCTTCTGCTGCCCAAGGACCTAGCTGGGGACATCTCCTTGGACACTTGGAAACCCCTCTTGCCAACCCTAAAATGGCTCCCTTAATTAAGATACCTTCTTCCCTGCTCCCATATCCACCCTTCCTCCATCTCAACCATCCCATTCCCCCAAACTCTCCCCAATCCTCCCCTTCTCCCTTCTCTCTCCCCATCTCCCCTTCCCCCATCCCACCCCCACCCCTGTGCTCCCAACTTTTGCCTGGCGATCTTGCCTACTTCCAATATCCAGGAGGATGAATACATGTTTTTCATTGAATTCACCTTCTTATTTAGCTTCTCTAGGATCATGAATTATAGGCTCAATGTCATTTGTTTATGGCTAGAATCTACTTATGAGTGAGTACATACATATTCATCTTTTTGGGTCTGGGTTATCTCACTCAGTAAAGTGTTTTCTATTTCTATCCATTTGCATGCAAAATTCAAGATGTCATTGTATTTACCACTGAGTAAAACTCTAAAGTGTATATGTTCCACACCTTCTTTATCCATTCTTCTATTGAGGGGCACCTAGGTTGTTTCCAGGTTCTGGCTATTACAAATAGTGCTGCTATGAACATAGTTGAATAAATGCTTTTGTAGTATGATTGGGCATCTCTTGGGTATATTCCCAAGAATGGAATTGCTGGATCCTGAGGTAGGTTGACTCCCAGTTTCCTGAGAAACTGCCACACTGATTTCCAAAGTGGTTGCACAAGTTTGCATTCCCACCAACAATGGATGAGTTTCCCCCTTACTCCACATCCTCTCCAGCATAGGCTATCATTGGTGTTTTTGATTTTAGCCATTCTGACAGGTGTAAGATGGTATCTCAAAGTTGTTTTGATTTGCATTTCCCTGATCGCTAAGGAGGTTTGAACATGTTTAGACCTTTTAAAATGACTTGCAGTTGGGCTTCTAGATTTCAGTATAGAAGGAATAACTTCCTTAAGTTTATTGTATATTTGCTCTTGTTGCTCCTATAATTTTCTTGATTTCTTTTTGTTCTCTGCTAGTGTACAGAAATGCATTTGAGTGTTTTTAAAAGGCAAATCTGAGACTTTAAACTCACTTGTAGAAACATTTATCTAGTAGAATTTTTTATTTCCTGCCTTCTGCTGATGTATGTGCATAGACTTTACTAATTGTTGGGTTTTGTGTTACTCTTAAAGACTTGTTGACTACTGTCTGTAAATTCCATATCATATTGCTGTTTACTATAATGAGATTAAAATTTATTACTGTTACAGTGTAAGTGCTACCAAGTGCCATTTTGGACATTAAGATTTAGCCATTTTTCCCTCATTTTCATTTTTTTCTTTTAAAGCATGACATTACCTTTGTTTATTTTAACTTCTTTATTGAATCTTTTTGGGTTTCACATCATATACCCCAATTCTGTTTACCTCCCAAGTCTCCCACATATTATCCCATCATTCCCGTTGCATCCCTCCACACTCAAAAGATGACAAAACAAAGTAAGCAAGCAAACAAAGCAAGAACAAAAAAAAGAAAAGAAAAAAAGAAAAGAGAAAATTAAAACATTAAATCAAAACAGAACAAAAAAACCATACCCAAAATAGCAAAATCTCTGCTTCTCCTTCTCTCCTGCCTCTCCATCACCTCTTCATCCATCCTGATAGCATTGGAGGCTTCAGTGTGTCATATACTGTATCCCTTTGTCCCATGAGCTTGGCTGGCAACTGTTCATTGCAATGAGTCATTGGTCTGGTTCAAGGCCTCTGGTTTTTGGTACACCATCCTCACTGAATCTTCACCAGAGCTCTTCTGGGAGATCTTGCAGGTACCATTCTATACGACCAGTCCCTTCACAAGCTCCAGTAGGACCCAGATGGGGTAGATGCTAGGGTGGGTCAATCCACGGCTCATTTGTGGGCCTAGATGTATGTCAGGTCAGAGCCACTGGGGCCACCAGCCTCCGGTGAGGTGGTGGAGTCAACTCCTCTCTATGCATGTCTTCAGGGTAGGTTCATCCTCTCTTGCCTGTGGTGAGAGGTGGGGGGCCCTCTTTCCTGAATGCAGGGGCCATCTCTCTTGCTGTAGTGGGCAGCGAAAGGTAAGGCCAGGCTTTCCCAGGGCAGTGTAGGGCGGGACTGTTGTATGTGTAATATGGTTTATAATGTACATTTGCGTATGCATATTTGTGGGTGCACATATTTGGGGTGCATGTGCCTATGGATATGAGTGCTTGAGGAGGCCTGAGGTTTGACTGCCCTTGTACCTTATTCAGTGAAGCCGGTTATTTCTGACACACAGAGCTCTCTGATAAAGGTATTTCTTGCTAACCAGCTTACTTCAGGGATCCTCTGTTCTCCAAGGTTAGAATTATAGATGGTCTGCCATGTCCACATGATATTTAGTGGGTTCCAGGAGTATGAGCTGCAATCTTCATATTCTCCTGGAAAGTGCTTAACCATGGAGCCATCTTCCCAGCTCCTAGATTTAGTCCAGTATTAGTCAATAAAAGAAATGGTGTGATACAACCATGAATACCAAATAAAAAATAGCATGTGATAGTCAGGTTGTTACAAATTTGTTACTGTAATTATCTTGATCTTTTATGAGATCTCTTTTTCTGAGAAGTTTATGTATACTGTATGCAGTTTATGAAGGCTATAATTAGTTTATCATTAACTTTATGTAGTACATTATTAAGTATTCTTAATAAAAATTTTTATAGAAATTATTTCTGAATACAAATTATTTAAGATGAACAAAGTCTAATGTTGATATTTGTAAGTATAACATCTATATCAAATGCTACAAAAATTTGATAAGCAACTTTCAAGTCTTATTGTTTACTTATTTATTCTTTATTTTCTAGTCTTGCACTACATCCTGAGCGAGTGTTGGTAGCAACAGGACAAGTTGGGAAAGAGCCGTACATCTGTGTTTGGGATTCTTACACTGTTCAGACCGTGTCTGTTCTGAAGGATGTTCATACACATGGTATAGCTTGTTTAGCATTCGACTTGGATGGACAGGTACATGATAATTTTTCTCCTTTTTTTTTAAACAATTTTTGTTTTAATGTTTGCTATAAGAAATCATTAGTCTATAATATAGAATTGAAAAAAATGATAAAAAGGTTTTGTTTATTCAAAGGTTTGATAAAGTATAAGTGTGATGGATGGATGACATAGCTAACAAAAATAAAAAACAAGGGGTATTGTTTTAATCATTACAAAGAACTTTCTCAGTCAAATTGTTCTAAGAATCAAAGAAATTCTCATTCAATGGAATATTACCTGGTTGTTACAGAAAATTTTGTCTGTAATTATTTTATAGGTAAGGTATTTAAGTAGTGCGTATGGAAGATAACTTAGGAAAATTAAGTTTCTGTAAGTAGGCCTGTGTACATTTTAATTTTCAGTTACTTTAAAGTTTTTTTTCAAAATTATCCTTTTATTGAAAATGAAACAATATCTGTGAGTTACTTTTATACAAAACCAAAGATCAAAAAAATCAATGTAATTATCACCTCACTGGTTGATTGATTTCCAAATTATCCTCTAACAAGCCAAGACTTTTTGTAGTTCTGTTTAGAAGCTGTTATGAATAAAACATACTTTAAAAAATGGTATTGTTAGTTTTTAAATATTTTGTGTTTAAATTAGATTTAAAGTCATTTTAACATATAGAAAAATTTACTTACTTGCTTTTTATTATTGTCGTAGATCTAGATTCTAGATTTAGATTGTAGTATGTTGTGTCCTAGAGGAAATGACAGTCAACAGATACCTTTCTTTTCCCCGAGGTGTAACACCTCCGAGTAGTACAAATTCCTGATTTCTTCTGGTAAGGGATCTGGGAAGACTTCACTGGAGCCTCTTGGAATAAGTGCTTTTAGGTTTCATGGTGATTAGCAATTGTGAAAACTCAATTCATGTCCCATGTTTGCTAATAGCTTTCAAGTCCTTTACATCTATCAGAATTTCACTTTCTTTCTTAAAAGAATATCTTCCTTACACCAAAGAGTATAAAGCATTATTAAACAAATCTACAAAATTAGTTTAAAATTCCTTTACACAGGTTTTGTGAAATTTAAGATGTTTTAAACTATAAGAGTCCATAAGTATTCTTTAGATATAGATGATTTCTTCATTTTTAAAGTTTCCCCTTTATTTTTAATATATTGTATTGCCCAGATGTCCCTTCTAAGGAGAAACAGCTTCCATGCTGTTCACTGCTCAGAAGCACTTCATCATGCTTACTTTGAGCTATGAGAAATTGGGAATACTTGTATTTTATCATCTTGTCTTCATGAGGGCATGTTGTTAAAATTTAAACTTAGAAAACCAGAGATATGGAGTACATACTATGTTCTTGGCATTTTCCTAAACCTGCATTATTTCATTTAATCCTCATGACAACCATATGAAATAGATTCTGTTATTGTCTCTACTTTGCAGAAAAAGAGACTGAGAAAGGTTAAATAATTTGTTCCAGGTTAACAGCTAATGAGTGGAACCAGAGCAGGAACCAGGTCTCAGACTCCAAAGCTCATGTATCTAACAACAATGCTTTACTGCCTTCCAAACATTAGGGTCCAAGAGAGGCCCCCACAGTAGATCAACAGATATGTATTCAGTATCAAGAGCACTTTATTAATTGCAACATTGGGGTGGCTCTTGGCAACCCCCAAAGAAGGTCACAAGCTCCTTTTAAGTGGACTTAGGGGAACTCCAGAGAGCAGGGATTAATCTGGGACTGATTGATGGAGGAGAGATTAGCATAGGGGCTGATTGGTTTAAGGATCTAGTGGTTAGGAACCTTCCAGCAGCAGGGTAGGGAAAGCTATCTTTAGTTATCAGGAGACTGGGGAGCACCTGCTAAGCCAGCAAAAGGGGCCATGGGGTACCTGCTGAGCTAGCAGAAGGCTGTTTTTTTTGTGGTTTTTTTTGGGGGGGGGACTGTCTGTTTAGCTCTGTCCCATTTTAGTGAACTGAAACTAAGGCTTAGATATCTGTCGGCGACTAGGAGAGCCTGGTCTGCCCCCCCAGCTCTATTATTTCCCCCCTTGAGTAGTGGGTCATCTCAAATCTGGGAGATGAATTTTCTGAATATATAGGCATTGTATTGCTGTCTCAGAACCATCAGCTGGACCGTAGAGATCTGTGATGATCACCAGGTTTCCTGGCCAGAACCTGTGGGACATAGGAGGCAGAGCTTTCTCAGACTGCACGCAGCTCAGACTAGAGTTGTTTCTGCACCTGAGACAGAACTTGTATGGAGGAAAGAAAATTTTTGGTCATCAAATTCAGCCACTAATTCTGCCCTAAGATTAGGCAGAATGGGTGGTGGCCTGACATACATGATCTCAAATGAGGTCAGGCCTAGTGTGTAAGAAAAATTGTGAACGTTCTAGAAAGCAAAGGGGAGGAGAGACACCCAGTCACTGCCAATCTCAAGGGCTAATTTGGTTAAGGTCTCCTTTAGAGTCTGATTCATCCTTTCTACCTGGCCTGGGGCACAAAAAGCACAGTGAAGTTTCCAATTGGTCCCTATAGCCTTAACTAGTTTTTGTGTTTGTTACCTAAGAGATGAATGCAGGTCTGTTATCGGAGCCCAAGAGCACAGAAAGCCATACCTGGGGTAATTTCTTCCAGTAGCTTCTTGACCATCTTGTACTTAGTTGGAAAAGCCTCAGTCCATCCTGAAAAGGTATCTATAAAAACTAGCAAATACTTATAGATGTAACATGAGGGGGCCGGCTTGTTGGGGTATCTGTCCTGCCCATTACCCCACAACCGGCAAGCCACAAGAAAATCACACACAAGACTCCATAATACTATAAACTGATTGGCCCATTAGGTCAGGCTACTTATTAGTTCTTATGACTTATCTTAACCCATTATTCTGATCTATGTTAGCTACATGGGCTCAGTACCTTTCTCAGTGTGACAGCTTACATGTTGCCTCTTCGGTGGTCTGTACAGGAATGGCAGAGGGAGCTTCTGCTTCCAGAATACTCCCAGTCTCTTTGCTCCACCTCTACTTCCTGTCTGGCTTTCCCGCCTATACTGCCTGCCTGGCCAATCAGTGTTTTATTAAAATATGATTGACAGAATACAGACAATTCTCCCGCATCATATAGCTATAGAGGCCTTTACCTCTGTGAAGTCAATCTCCCAGTTGGCACCAGGCTGAGCTCCTCTGTCCTGGTGTCCAGTTCTTGTGACTCTACTTTTTGCCTTGACAAGATGGCAGGTGGGACATCAACTTACAGCTTCTGCTGTTTTGGCCTTAAGGCCAAAGACCTTAAGATGTGCTCTTCTCAAGAGATCCCATATTTTCCTTTCTCCCAAGTTTGTATTTTGGTGTATTTGTCAGACTAGTTGAATGGCAAAGTCTGATGGGAAGATGTTCATTGGGGGTCCTGAACTATCCTTCCTCCATGTAAGCGTGCATGAGTGAATTCTATGTAGCTCTTGGTCATTGTAAGCTAAAATTCTGGCAGTGTGGGTGTTACCATCTTTGGTGGTGTGACCAGCAGGATGACTGCTGTCTGGAGGACAGCCTTCTTTGCTGCCATTAGCCATTAGCACATCTGCTAGGCAAACCTCAGCCTCTAGATTCAGTTTGCTTGAGCCTCCAAGAGGGAAAAAACAAAAACAAAAACCACAGGCCACAGAACAAGAAACAGAACAGACCAAAACAAAGAGCGCTCACTTTACTTACTGGCTAGCTAGGTTATCAGACGCTCAACATGGTGGGGGTCTCTGGGAGGCTTCCCAGACACTGCACCAGAGTTAGGTTCAAGAGATTTTAGTGAACCAAAACTAAGGTTTAGATTTTTGTTAGGCTCCTAGGAAAGCCTGGTCTCACCCCCACCTGGCTCTCACCAAACATGTAAGTTAGGAGGTAGTGATTTATATATCAAAAGAGATTCATCCTTTGAAGAGTAAAGTTAATCTAAGGAAATTTTGGAAATTGAAGATAAGGAAATTATTTTAATGTCATAATTTCAAAAGTATATTTGAGCAAACATACCCATTTATAAAACTCTTTATGAGATAATGAGTAGGAAATATTGCCTAATGTTTTCATTTTCTGCTAGAATTGAAAGCATATGTGATAATTTAGGATTTATCCTTTTAGCAATTTCCTACTAGGTAGAAATACTAAATGTTCTTTTTCTAAAAGCTTTCCTTTAAATGAGCTGAATAGATATATAAATACTAGTAACCTGTCTTCTTGAGGATAATTAAGGCCTGAAAAGTCTATTTCTAGAAATCTGTAATAAACAGGGACTAAAGTTTCATACAGCAATGGGAGGAGGTAGTGGATAACTTACCTTGTAATTTACCTAGAAATATAGACACATATTATAAAATATATTATAGTATTCATTATTTTAAAAATCGTGTGTGTGTGTGTGTGTGTGTGTGTGTGTGTGTGTGTGTGTGTGTAAATATATTTGGCTGTATGGACACCTGTAGAGGCCAGAAGTCAACACTGAGATGTCTTCCCCAACTGTTTTGCCACCTTATGTTTTGAGACAGTCTCTGATTAAACCTAAAACCCAAATTTTCAGCTATGCTGACTGGCCGAGGAGAGCCTGACTCCATCTGTGTCTGCTTTGCAGGGCTGGGATTATGGATCCATGCCTCAGAGCTCAGCTTTTCCTGTTGGTGCTGGGGATCTGAGTCATGTCCTCAGGCTTGTGCAGTGAGCACTTCACCCACGTGCCATCTCCCCCACCCACAATAGTTTCTAACAGAAACATAAATTATAGTTAGCACTCTGTTCATTTCTAGAACGAGCTAAGGATGAAGTAGTTTTTAAGTCTAATTTCGTGAAAAGTCCACAAACTGGCACAAAAATAAAATGTGTCAGTTTACTTTTGTAGAATTTGTAATGTTCTTTATAACAACAAAATAGTTAATTCTTACAGAATAAATGAGACCACACAACCATCCATACTAGAACTGAGCCCATTTGGTTTAAATCATAATTCTACCCAGGTGAAGCTGTTCTGACTGGGTACTAGGTGGCATTTTTCACTTGAACAGAAAACATGAATTTGTAAAGCTAATTATGTATGACTTATGGTAAATAGTGTTGATGAAGATATCAAACATTCATGTAGAAAGTCCAGGGGTTCCCATCTCTACCTCCTCGGCAGGGGGTTAGCGGGTGTGTGCTGCCGTCTAGTGATTGTTTGTTTTCTCTGTCTGAGTGCTGGGGACCAATCTCAGGTCTTCATGCCGTGTAACTAGCACTTCACCTACTGAGCCATCACTCTAATCCAGCATTTTCACAGATAGTATCTTCTCTTTTTAAATATCTTCATAATTTTTGGGTCCTCTGATGACTGACACTCTCCCACAATTGTTTCATCTGTTAAAAGTTTTTGTTAGATACTGGAAATTGTATATGTTATGTAATTCTTAAAATGATTTACATGTTGGCACCTTTCAAACATTTGAGCATCGTTCTGATGGGTCATTAAATTCCTTAGTCCTTGTGAAAAGCTTAATTTGTAAACGTTGTATAGTGGGAAGTTGGGGGACCTATAGTAGCTTTGCTTTTGGGATGATTGCTTTAACTTCTCTGCTAAGGTATGGCCATCCTGAGGCCTTTAATTAACCCATGGAGTTCCCTTCCATTGTAGCTATTGGGAATTTGGGATAGTACTGACCACTTATGTTCTCAAAATTGTTTGCCTTTAGTTCCCCATTAATTGTTCTTTTTCTGGAATTTCTTTTTTGTCTTAATATTATTGCCCTGTATACAGAAAGAATGGTATTCTCAAATCTCACCTGTAGACATATTTTCTTCAGCTTTATCTGTGCTCTGCATATTCTAGTCATCTTGTCCTCTGAAACCTAAGCCCTTGACAGTTGAAATAAACAAGCCTGTTGGTTGCTAAAAGACTCTACCTTTATGTAGAAACTGCCTCTTATGTTCTCAACTGAGGCAGTTGTAAAACTCACTTTATTTCTTTCCTCCCCTCTTTCATCATTCACAGTGCCTTGCTTACTGTTAGAATGTTTGTTTCATATATATTTGTACAGTTTTCTGAATGTCACAGCAGTAGTCAAGTTCAGACCCTGGTTGTCCTTCTTGGCTAGAATTCCATCTCCCATGTTTCTTACCCCTTTCGTTCTTTCAGTCTTATTAACTCCTGCCAAACCGTGTCCTCTCATCTCTTTCTAATTTATTGAACTCTTCCACTGAATCTTTAACTTCATCTAGTTTGATTTTCAGCAAGTCCTGTGTTTATATCTTTTTGGACACTTTTTATAGTTTCCTATTCTTTGCTCTTATGCAGATGTTTCAAAGCCTTAATTTTATTTCTCTGTGCATGTTTAGCATATTTTATATTGTTTATCTAATTACAGTTTTATTCATTTTACTGATTGTTGGAACTAGCTTATCTTCTCTTATGGTCACATTTCCCTGTGTTTGTGCCAAATGTTTGATTTGTTTTTACTGTGTAACTTATTTTTATTTGAATACCTACCTGTTGGAATTCTTTGAAAGATGAATTAAAAGTTGCATCCCCTTATGTTGGATTTATATTGCCTGTTCCATGCTACTGAAATTTCTCGAAAACACACCCAACCTCAGAAACCCTCTGAAAAGAATTTCTCACTTCAGGGTTCATGTAAACTTACATCATACAATAATGAGAAAGCTGATTCTGCTTTCAGACGTTCAGGGAGATTTTTCTTTTCTTCCACAGTTGCCCACAGTTGTTCCACAGTTCCCTGTTCTGAGGAATTTATTCCTCTAGTTAAAAGTCTGCAGTTCCAATCACCATCGTGGGTAGATTCCCTAAACTTTCTCTCTTACTCTTCTTTAGCCTTCAGTAAAACAAACCAACCAACCCAAAGAACTGGGGTAACCAAGCTTCACTTGATACATTCATAGTAAATATTTTCTTCCCTTCAGAATTCTCACCAAGGATCCTTTGTTTTGTTCTCAGTTTTTCTTCATTTTTTGACAGTGCAACAATGCATTTAAAAAGATGCGTTTATAGTTTATTTAGAAGTTTTAGCTTGTTGCTAAAGTTTGATTATGCTACTTAATGGATTTCATAGAACTGAAAGTTCTTACTTCATATGAAAAACTAAATGCAGGTACAAATATTAATGGAATGAATACATCAATCTGCCTTAAAAGGTGTCTGAAATATGAATATGAATGCATATATTTTGATGTTATAAGTAGAATTTATTTGACATTTATAATGTGGTAGTTATTTAAATTTTCTTTTCATTCCCTCCTGCACTTCTTGGACAAAATCCAGCGCTTGGTTTCAGTTGGACTCGATTCAAAGAATGCAGTTTGTGTTTGGGACTGGAAAAGGGGGAGAATGTTGTCTATGGCTCCTGGTCACACTGACAGAGTGAGTACCTCCTCTGGGCTTTCTAATGAATACCTGGCAGGAGAAGACTGGTAGAGAGTTCAAGGGCTTTCGTCTGTGTCTTGTCATTGTCACATACCCACAGGTAATACAAATTGTACAACTTCTAAAAAAATGGTAAAGTTATAGGGAGAGGAAGGGGAAAAGGGAAATGTGTAATGAATTTTTTAGATGATAGAATTTTCTAAAACTAAGTATAGTTACAGTTGAACAATTTTGTAAGCATACTAAGTACCATTGATTTGCATACTTTAAATGAGGAAATTTTTTTGTATGTTTGTTTTTTGAGGCAGGGTTTCTCTGTGGAACCCTGGTTGTCCCAGAACTCGCCCTCGAACTCACAGAGGGTTCTGGTTGTCCTGTAACTCACTATGTAGAACAGGCTGGTCTCAAAACCACAGAGATCTGCTTCCTCTGCCCCGAGTGCTGGGATTAAAGGTGTGCACAACCATGCCTGGCCTTGTAATCAATTTTTAAATTAAATGCTGTGATTTTTATGAAACTAGACAAAATTTTAGATAAATTCTTAAGTCTTTTTTTTTTTAACCAGACTAGAATAATAGTCAGTGTTACTAGTTTGTAAACATCTGTAAATGTTTTGTAGGAAATTTTGTGAGTTACAGTTTGGAGTGGTTTTCACAAATTCTTTAAGGAGCCTATTACATGGCCACTGATAACTATTAAAATGTTACCATATCTTATTAGACAACCTTTTTCTAACTTAATTTGTGTGTCAAAGTACTTCACAAATTTGTACCTTGAATTTACAAACCAATTTTTGTAAAAATGGTGTTGAATGATAATGGACTATTAAAAAATGTTGTCATTACTATATTAAAATTGCATTAGTGTAGCCAGGTGGTGGTGGTGCACGCCTTTAATCCCAGCATTCAAAAGGCAGAGGCAGGTAGATCTCTGTGAGTTCGAGGCCAGAATGGTCTACAAGAGCTAGTTCCAGGACAGACCCCAAAGAAACGGAGAAACCGTCTCAAAATTAAAAAAACAAAACAAAAACAAAAAACAAAAAAATGCATTGGTGTGTTTCTATGTAATGTCTGTTATGGTGAGCTGTTAAGCAGTGTCTTGACCAGTGTACTCTTACTATCTTTGGCGAGCATCACTTTGTAAAGTTTTAGAGATAACAGACTTCTTAGGTTAAATTATACAGTGACCAAAGAAACTTAGTGAGGAGGAACCTATATAGCAGAGCAAATAAATGGGTGATGGATTTTCTTTCATTTGTTGCTTAATTGTGTGTTTCTATTAGATATTCTGATTCACCTGAGTTTTTTGTAACAATGTGATTTGTGTGTACTTTGAATTTATGGAATATTAGATATGAATAAAATCATAGGGACTACAAAATTTAAGAAAATACAAGTTAATTCTGTTTGACCTATAAACAATGAGAAAGTTAAAAAATGAAGGCTAAATATGGCTGTGAAATGAATGTTTGGATCTTAAAGTAGTTCTGATTAAAAATGTAGAAGTATTCTCTGTATCTCAGTATATGAGTATTCCATTTAGAATTTTGCCTTTGTAAAAATTCTTGGGCATCTACCTCATGCTCTAGTTCTACTGAACTACTCGTGTTACTTACTTGGATCCAAGTATTCTTTAACAATTAAAATTACATGTGTTAAATTTTACTCTGTTAGTTACTCTGTAAAGTTAAACAAAACTAAGAAATTGCCTTTATTACTTATCATATTTATTTTTTTCTTATAAGATTTTGAAATGTACAATTTCTATCATTATCAAGACTACTATAGTTTCTGATAGGTGAGGATTTAGCCGAACTCATCATTTGGGTAGAATTCTTAAATGATATTGAGTATTTTAACCATTCATTTGATTTATTTACAGATATTTGATATATCTTGGGATTTGTACCAGCCAAATAAACTTGTCAGCTGTGGTGTGAAGCATATCAAGGTACAAGAAGCTTCCTTCTTCTGTAGCTACATCTACGTCACACCATTAGCCATTTATGACAGTTACAGGATTCTGACAAGATTTGTTTTAAAACGTCAACCTTTTAATACTATGTCTACTCTAGCAAGTGCTTAATGTATAGATATTTTGAGACATTATAATGGTATAAGCTTTATAAGGGAAGTGATGAGTCACTCCCTATTAGGAAACATAGTCTAGCAAGATAGACTCTACTGTGCTCATCTTGTTTCTTCATATTTCACTTGCAAAGTAAAATGTAAAAATAGGAAATCAAACAAACTAAGAGTTTTTCATCTGCAGAGGTAATATTGCCTTGTGGAAGCAAAATGGATATCCCTACTGTCACTTATGAGACACTTAACTTGTCTGAGTCAGTTAACCACAGTCAGGATTTTTTCCCACATTTTGTAGCTATGACAGTTCCTACCATCCTCAGAGTCGATGACTTAAAAGGCAGCATGTGTTCAAATGCTTTTCATAGTACCCAACTAGGGTTGTCTTTTTCTATGTTTGCGACCTGAAGGGACTTCCACCTTGATAGTTACTGTGTATTTGCTTATGCAAACTAGAGGTTTCATTTTTACTGTAATTAGATTTTGAAGCCTAAAGTAAATGGTGACATTGTTTTACATTTTTATTGAAAATAGAGTCTTTTCTCATACAATATATCAGGGTTACAGTTTTTCTTTCCCTCCTACACCTTTCAGTACTTCCCTGCCTCCCCTCCCTCCAGATCCACTCCCTTTCTGTCTCTCATTAGAAAAGAACAGGCCTCTAAGAGATAACAACCGCACATTATGTTTATATAGTTAGCTTTAAATCACTGGTGCAAATGCCAAATACTTGTTTCTCTTCTACTGTCTTATATAACTGCTCCTGGAAAGTTAATTTCTAGTGAGTAAGAATCTATGTTCTGACATTCTTTTCTGTGTCTTCCTCCACGTCTTCCCCAAGGCTTTAGGCATATATTTTAAGCTCTAGGAAGATAGATATCTTTGTCTTTTAATCTAAGGTGATTTTTGGTATAGTACTTGAAATATATATGTGTATATATATATATATACATGAACTTATTAGATATATATGTCATATATAATATATGCTATATTAAATATCTAATTAGTTGGCAAAGTAATAATAAAGAGATCTTACTGATGATTATATTGTAAATAAAGCTAAAACTTTAAAAATACTTATTTATTCTCTCATAAATCTCGTCTACAGTTTTCCTTCTTTCCTCTCCTCTCAGTCCCTCCCCCCACCTCCACTCTCCTCCAGATTCACTCCTCCTCCATTTCCCTTCAGGAAAGAGCAGGCCCCCCCCCAGGGATATCCACCAAACATCGCATAACAAGTTACAATAAAAGACTAGGCACATGCCCTCATATTAAGACTGGATGGGGTAACCCAATCGGAGGAAAAGAGCCTTAAAATCAGGCAGAAGAGTCAGAAACAGCCTCCATTCTCACTGTTAGTTGTCCCACAAGAACACCAAGCTACACAACCATAACATATATGCAGAAGGCCTAGGTCAGACCCATATAGGTTTTCTGATTGTCCCTCCAGTCTCTATGAGCCCCTATAATCCCTGGTTAGTTGATTCTGTGGGGTGTGTTCTTTTGATGTCCTTGACCCCTCTGGCTCCTATAATCCTTCTCCCTCTTTCTCAGCATTATCCAAGCTCCGCCTGATGTTTGGCCATGGGTCTCTGCATTGACTCCCATCAGTTTTTGGATGAGGCTTCTCTGATGATCATTATGGTAGGCTCCAGTCTATGAGTATAGCAGAATATCATTAGGAATCATTTCATTGACCTTTGTGTGTGTGTGTGCCAGTCTTGTTTGATTCTATGGTTTGTGGTCCTCCAGGCAGTGTCAGGTGTGGGCTTCCTCTTGTGGTGTAGGTCTCAAGTTGGAACAGTCGTTGGTTGGCCACTCTCACAAACTTGGCACTTATCTTTACCTCAGAACATCTTGCAGGCAGGACAAATTGTAGGTTGAAGATGTTGTGACTGGCTGATGTCTCTGTCCTTCCCCTGGAGCCCTTGTTTGGTTACAGAAGATGGCAGGTTCAGGCTCTGTATCCTCCATTACTAGGAGTTATCATCCTAGATTCCAGGGAGTTTCTACTGCTCTAGGTTTCTACCTTATCCCTGAAATGCCCTCAGTTCCCATCATCTCTCCCAGTACTCTCTTCCTTCATGCTTCCCCTGACCTGATCCCTCCTGTTCCCATGTCTACCTGCCCCCAATCAGCCTGCAAAATCTATTCTATTTCCCCTTTCCAGGGAGATCAACGTGCCCCTTCCTTGAACCTTTCTTGTTACTTAGCCTTTCTGGGTCTATGGACTGTAACATGATCATCCTTTACAGCTAATATCCACTTATGAGTTCATAGCATATTTATCTTCCTGGGTGTGGGTTACTTCACTCTGGATGATTTTTTTCTAGTTCTTCAAATTTCATGATGTCATTGTTTTTAAAAAATGAGTAATACTCCAGTTATGTAAATGTACCACATTTTCTTTTTTATTATTTTTATTGACCTATACATTTTTCTCTGCTCCTCTCCCTTCCTCCCCTCTCCCTTTTTACCTTCTCCCCTGTCTCCCATGCTCCCAATTTACTCAGGAGACCTTGTGTTTTTCTCCTTCCTATGTAGATCCATTTATGTCTCTCTTGGGGTCCTTTTATCTAGTTTCTCTGGGGTTGTGTACTGTAGACTGGTTTTTCTTTGCTTTATGTCTAAAAGCCACTATGAGTGAGTACATATTATATTTGTCTTTCTGGGTCTGAGGTACCTCACTCAGTATGATTTTTTTCTAGATCAATCCATTTGTATGCAAATTTCAAGATGTCATTATTTTCTGCTAAATTCCATTACTCCGTTGTGTAGATGTACTACATTTTTTTACTCATTCTTTGGTTGAGGAGCATCTCAGTTGTTTCTGGGCTCTGGCTATTATGAATAATAATGCTTCTATAAACATAGTTGAGCACGTGTCCTTGTGGTATGATTGAGCATCCTTTGCGTATATACCCAAAAGTAGTGTTGCTGGGTCTTGAGGTAGATTGTTTCCTAATTTTCAAAAAAAAATCTCCATATTGATTTCCAAAGTAACTGTACAAGTCTGTACTCCCACAAGCAATGGAGGAGTATTCCCCTTACCCCACATCTTCTCCAGCATAAGCTATTATCAGTACCACATTTTTTAAAATCTATTCTTTGGGTGTGGGATAGCTAGGTTGTTCCTAGTTTCTGGCTGTTATGAATAAAGCCACTATGAACATAGTTGAACAAGTGTCCTTGTGGTATGATAGTGTATCCTTTGGGTCTTGAGGTAGATCAATTCCCAATTTTCTGAGAAACCACCATATTGCTTTCCAAAGTGGCTGTACAAGTTTCTATTCTCACCAGCAATGGAGGAGTGCTCCCCTTGTTCTATATCTTCTCTATCAAGAGCTTGAGTTTTTGCCTTTAACCATTCTTACAGGTATATGACAGAATCTGAGTCATTTTGATTTGCATTTTGCTGAATGCTAAAGATATTGAACTTTTCCTTAAGTGTTTCTCAGCTTTTTGAGATTCCTTTGTTGAGAATTCTGTTTAGATCTGTACCCCATTTTTAAATCAGATTATTTTGTTTGTTTATATCTAGTTTCTTGAGTTTTTAAATACTTTAGATATTAGCCCTCTGTCAGATGTGGAGTTGATGAAAATCTATTCCTATTCTGTAGGATGCTGTTTTGTCCTATTGATGGTGACCTTTGCCTTACAGAAGCTTTTCAGTTTCTTGATGTCCCATTTATTAATTGTTCATCTGAGTGTCCACATTATTGGTGTTTTGTTCAGAAAGCTGTCTCCTGTGTCAGTGCTCTTAAGACTATTCCCTGCTTTCTCTTCTGCCAGTTTAGTGTACCTGGTTTTATGTTAAGGTCTTTGATTCACTTGGACTTGAGTTTTGTGCAGGGTAATAGATATGGATCCATTGGCATTCTTCTACTTGCTGACATCTAGTTAGACCAGCACCATTTGTTGAAGATACTTTCATTTTTCCATTATATATTTATGACTTCTTTGTAAAAAAAAAAGTCAGGTGCTCATAAGTGAATTTATGTCTGCATCTTCAATTCAATTCCATCTACCAACCAATCAGTTTTTATGCCAATACCATGCAGGTTTTATTACTATAACTCTGTAGTAGAGCTTGAAATCAGGGATGATGATACCTTCAGAAGTTCTTTTATCTTACAGGACTGTTTTAGCTATACTGTTTTTTGTTTGTTTGTTTTTCCATATGATGTTGAATATTGTTCATCCCAGGTCTGTAAAGAATTGTGTTAGAATTTTAATGGGGATTGACTTCAGTCTGTAGATTGCTTTTGGTAGGATAGTCACTTTTACTATGCTAATCCTACTGATCTTTGAGCATGGGTAATCTTTCCATTCTAGTGTTCCAACTTTCCTGGATGTTTTGTGTCAGGAATTTTCTGAATTTAACATTTTCTTTGACCAATGTATCTACTTCTTCTATCATATTTTCAATGCCTGAGATTCTTCCATCTCTTGTATCATGTTGGTGTTGAGTCTGTGCTTACCTTGATTTTTCATTTCCAGAATCCCCTAAATCTAAAACTTTTTTAGTTTCAGATTTAAGTTTCAGATGAGTTTAAGAGCTCATCTTCTGAGACTAAACTATATTATGAATTACATTTCTTTTCCTTTGGTAGCAATAATGAGTAGTAAAGTGGTATTTTGTGCCAGCAGTACATGTGAGGAAACTTAAGTCCCAAAGATGATCTAAAATTGTACTGCCTAGTAAGTAAACATTAAGACATAAGTATAAGCTCAAATGAAATGAAATTTAAAATTCATTTTTTTGGTGCATATATATGTTTATATATGCATACACATTTTAAACACATATTTATCCATACACACACACACACACACACACACGACATAGGAAGGAAAGGAGAAATTTCCATTTTCATTGAGTTTGTATTTGACAGTACTGATCGGGATTCTAGAACAGAAGGATTAGCTCCTGCTGAGTCTCAAAAGCATTTGGAAGTCTAGACTTTCTTCCCCAAAGATTGTATCTCATTCCATCTCAGTGGGTGTTCAGGAATTGTAACTCTCCCCAGGTGATTCTAATGTGAAGCCAAGATTGACAGTCACTGAGCTGGAAGAAAATAATAGAATCAAATTGGGACTGGGTGAAAGGGCAAGACCAACTATTTTTGTGAATATAAATTATGGATGGTGCTTTTAGGTAGAAGTCATAAAATTTCACACATTCAAGTACTCATTAACTACATGAATGGTTAACTATTGTAAGTTTTAGTTCTGTGATGCTTCAGAGTTTAAAATTTAAGGATGCAATATTAAAATATATTAAATGGTAATTTACTTTTTATAAAATAATATTCTAGGGATCCAGTTTTTTTTATTTAGAACAATTTTATGTGTAGATCTCTGCCTTACCACATTCATATTTTTTCTCAGTGCGAACTATAAAGATTTATTGAACACTGAATAATAAAATAATAAGGCTGGCTGTGACGACTCATGCTCGAATCTGTCCTCTCCCAAGGATAAATCGGTCGTTTCTAATGGGTATCTTGTTTTTAAGCTTTATAAACAGAGCTGTTATTCAGCTTGAGACTATCCATGAAAATGACATATATTCTTTCTTTCAGTCCTCCCCTCTGTCTTAACTGTTTGTATAAGGTTCAACATAATGTTCTCCCTACCTTTCTGGCACTTGAGATTGAAACCAGGGCCTTGCACAGACACTAGGCAAACTACTGAGCTATATTCCCAACCTTTGTCTTCATTTTCATTCCTAACTCACTCCCAACCTTTTAATCCAAATTACATGTAGATGTTTTTTAAAACAGAGTGTTTGAAATTTAAGATCCTTTGTATTAATTCTTTGAGAAATCATAGATTTATACAGTGTATCTTGATCATATCCACTAGCACTCCTCTCCCTAACTTCTCCTAGATTTATCCCCATCGCTGCAACTCCTCTCACTCAGTGGTTGGTTAACTCCATAACATCCATGACACTATTGCACTCAAGGAATGAGCAAGGCATGATGGTCATTATTGCAACCATGGGTTCACAGCAGGGACTGTAAGACTGTTTGATGACTTTTTCCTCCAACCAAGTTATGTAACACTTCCTGATGCCATGAAAGGTGGCAAGCAGGGAGGAAACTTTCTAGTTAGTGCTAACCTGATTTCTGTGTTCAAAGTGTGTTTTATCTTCAGCAATAAGATCTTACCATCAAGTTCTAGTGGACAACCAGAAGTGGTGGGAGTAGCCTATGTTGGTTTGGAGTATCTAGAACACATGAGAACAAGTATTCTTGGCCTGGCTTTTTTTTTTTTTGGCATATTATGGCTTCTGGGAGAACATTATTCCCTGTGTAGGGTAACTCCAGTTTAATACTTTTGTATGAAAATACACACACACACACACACACACACACACACACACACACACTTAGAAAGCATATAAAGTAGTAGGTTTCCATATGGCTTTTTACCTCTTTCAAGTTAGTTAATCCTCCTCCACCTATTATTCCCTTGCCCTTCACTTCCATCTCCTCCCCTCTTAAATATAGGAATTTAAAGGAAATGTTAGCTCAGATTCTTTACTCTTACAGATAAAGATTGAAACTAGTGACTGATCTGCTGTAACAGCTGTGACAGCACTAGGATGAGGGTGTAAACATTGAATGTTATTTTATCATGAGACAACTATTTTAGGTAATTTTTAGTCTGCTGCCATAGTATAGCATCGAATTATTGAAAATACTTTACTTGGTTTTATAAGCATTATTTGATAATATGCTTATACTGTATACATTTTAGTTCTGGAGTTTGTGTGGAAATGCTCTGACCCCCAAACGAGGAGTTTTTGGTAAAACAGGTGACCTGCAGACAATATTGTGCCTAGCCTGTGCTCGGGATGAATTAACATATTCTGGTGCACTCAATGGGGATATATATGTTTGGAAAGGAATCAATCTTATACGAACAATACAAGGAGCCCATACTGTAAGTATATTTGGATATTTGAAATACTTTTAGATATTTGCCACTTAACTTTCTTAAAACAAACAATCTAATATAGCCTGTTGCTAGTCTGTTCATGTTCTTGAAAAATGCTCTTCTAACAATTTGTTTTTAAGATTTCAATAAGAACCATGCAATTAGACTCATACATATTTATTAACTTAGTATAACTATCATCTTGTTAAAACCATTGCTGTAACAGTGTCAGAACAGTGGTGAGTAAAGTTTGTTGACTTTAGCCATGGAGTTTCTAGATTAACTTTAATAAAAATAAAGCTAGTGTTAAGGCCAACTTAACGAGTAGGCAATTTGGGAACATATAGGGAATTAACCAAAACCAAAACTCATTAATCCATGGAAGAAGGGATTTAATATTTTTAATAGATTAAATTGTTATTTATTTACTTTGTGTATGTGGTGTTTTGCTTGTATGAATATCTGTGCACCATGTGCATGCCTGGTACCTTTGGATACCAGAAGAAGGCGTAGGATCCCCTGCACTGGAGTTACGCACCAGTGTGAGCTTCCACGTGGCTGCTAGGAATTGAACCCAGCTCATCTGGAAGACAAGTCAATGTTTTTAACCACTGAGCCAATTCTCTAGTCCCTGGAATTTCTTTTTAATTCATGATATTTTCATTTAATTAAATCAGAAAAATGTATTGTTAATAATTTTTGTGTAGTTTTAATTAAAACTGTTTAGTAGTTGAATTATCTCTCCTCAAACAGTGAAGGGGGTTGGTTAGCATGGTGTGATTGTCAACTGGAAAGTACTGACGTGCTAAAGAACCATGTATGAATTTCTTGCTGTAAGCAAAGTATCTGGAAACAAAAATATCAACTTTTTTTTCATAAAAGTTGTGGTGATTCATATTATAATCTCTAGTATGTAAAAACATTAGTTTTTTCTCTTCATATTTTTCAGTGTAGAATATGAAATATTGAAAATTTTTGCTTATCTTCTGGAAGAAAAATGTTAACTTCCTTGAATTGTCATTTTTATTAATTATCCTTTTTTCTTTTACTCTTGTTTAGTTGGTTGCATTAGGATTTTTGTTCATTCGTATATTAGAGATATGTATTTTTTCAAAATATGCCTTGTAGGTAGGGGCCATGGATGTAGCTCAGGGATAGAATGCTCATCTAGCATTGTGGAGTCCTGGGTTCAATCCTAGTACTGCACATACATGTGCGGAAAAGTGAAAGGTTTTTCCTGTATTGTTTATAGTTTTTTTTATCATGTATGAAACAGTCTTATAACTCAGTCACATGAGTATTATGATTTTTTAAACACTTATTTACTACATTTAGAGTTTTGCCTTCTAGAATTAATTTTATATACAGTATAATATTTAACTTCCTTTTATCATATACATATTATTAAATACTGCCTCAATTCTATATTGACTTTCTAATGATGGATTATATTTTGATATATTATTGATATGTTTATTTATTTATGTTTCATAAGAAAATATTGCTGAGTGATTTTTTTTTTTTGCCTTTATTTAGTAGATTTACCCCTTCCCTACCCTGAGGCAGGATTTCTCTGTGTAGCCCTGGCTGTCCTGGAACTTGCTCTGTGTAGATCAGGCTGGCCTTGAACTCAGATTCACCTGCCTCTGCCTCCCAAATGCTGAGATTAAAGGTGTGAGTCACCACTACCCAGCCCAGTAGATGTTCTTAAGAAGTTTATGTTGCTAAGTTGATTTCTTCCTTCACCTAGGCGGGAATTTTTAGTATGAATGCTTGTGAAGAAGGCTTTGCTACTGGTGGCAGAGATGGCTGTATTCGTCTTTGGGATTTAGCTTTTAAACCAATTACTGTGATTGATCTCAGGGAAACAGACCAGGGATACAAAGGTAATAATAAAATGAATGCATTATGCTAAGAAAATGGTGAATGGACCAATGGTTGTCTTTTGGTATTCCCACATCTTCTATACATTCCTCTTGGAGTAGTTTTGTTGATAGCTGTGCTCACTATCATGACAAAGGTTCTTTTGTGTGTCTAATGCCTGTTGTAATGAGACCAACAGAAACATCTGATAGAAATTTACTTTTTTACCTGTAAAATATTGAAAATATTTTAGTGTTACAATGCTAAATAGAACTATTTGCCAAATAATTGCACAACTGAAATATATTGGGAATTGGTAAACTTTTGTTATTGATGATTTAAGTCAATTTTCTTTATTCAGAATTTACTTTTTCAGCAATTAGGGGACTTAAAAATAGACATAATAGAATAAATTTTCAGTGTAATGTATTAGTTACTATTATGTCATTGAATTATAAGACTAAGATTGGAAGTAACACATTTAGATAATATTTACTTAAAATATTATTTAAATAATATTGGTGTCATTAATATTGGTGTATATAACTCCAGTCTAATTGCTTAGCCTCATCTGTAAATTAAAGCCACTGTGAATATCTCCTAGTATTAAACGAATCAATACACATTAGTTAATTTAGACTGTTCAGTACATAGTAAGCTTTTAGATGTTAGCCGTTACTCTATTTTTATTAGTTTAGATAAGCATTATTCTAAAGCTTAGAAAATAATGTTATTCCTTTTTTTATTCTGAAGAGGATAAGCTATATGGTATCTTTATATTGGCAATGTTGTATAAAAATAATAATGTTTTTCATAAGAGCCAACAGGAACTGTGGTGGATGCAGATAAAATAAAAGTGAATATTCTCTTTTTTTAAATATGTTGATAAGCAGATTTAAGAGATGAAATACAGTGAGAAGTCAGACTCTTATAAAACACACAATGCACTTCTATAAAGGCAGGTCCTGAGCACTTACCCATTGTGAGTGCATGTGAGAGCTTAAATACAAACACAGTCTGACTCTCGGAACTGTGTAGCAAGAAGAAAAAAGTGTATCTAAAGATGGTTAGAAATTAGGTATACAAAAAGGAAATCTCTTGTTTCATATGGAAAAGAATACAAACAATTGAAGACAATGGGAGTGTACACCCAGACTTTCATACTCTGTCTTATAATCAAGATATAAAAGATATAAAAATTAATTTCCAATTAAGACTGCATTTTATTACTGTAGCATTGACATTTACAATATTGGTATTAAATGTGCTTTTTACAGGTTTGTCTGTGAGGAGTGTTTGTTGGCGAGGGGACCACATTTTAGTTGGAACACAGGACAGTGAAATTTTTGAAATTGTTGTGCATGAAAGAAATAAACCTTTCCTACTTATGCAAGGGCATTGTGAAGGTGAACTTTGGGCACTTGCTGTTCATCCTACTAAACCTTTGGCCGTGACTGGAAGTGATGATCGTTCAGTCAGGTAAGTAAATCATTTCTTAGGTAAGGTACTGTGGAATTTCAAATTCAGACTGTAAGAACTAGTATCTTACCAACTAAGAACATGTTTGTGGTCATACACCTTAAATGGATTGTGCATGCCTTTGACCTGCCATGGTGCTCAGGCATACAGATGTATATACAAAAATACACGTAAAATTTGTTCTAAAATCTACCTCTGTGATGGTATGTAAGCTGTCGGCAATGTATAAACAAATGAGTGTGTCTGTGTTCCTATAAAACTTTATTTATAGACATGAAATCTGAACTTTGTGCATTTTCTTGTGTTTCAATTTTTTCTTTTATGAGTTATAACAATTAAAAATTATAAAATTTATTTTTTGTTTTCAGTCTATAAAAACGTGCATTCACCTGGTTTGTCCCAGAGGATCTGTTTACTGACACTTGTGGTACAGAACAAGAAATCTTCAGTAAATACAGCACTTAATGTTGCAGAAATGAAACTTTGTGGTCAGGAAAGATAGTGATTCACCAGTGTAGAACGGCCAAATAGAGATGATTGGGGCAAGGGGCATGAGAACGAGAGAGGGAAGGGAATAAAGAAGAGTGGTTAGAAAGAAACTACTTTTATACAGAGGCAATATGACTGTATCTGTAGGAAGAATCCAAAGAAAATGCAAATAAATTCGTGGAATTTAAAGGGAATTAGTGTATTGAAAACTCTAATTGGTCTTAATAATAAAAACCCAGAGTCAGATATTGGGGTAAATGATGAAAGATAAGAGAAGTAAAGGGCCAACCACTAGAGAGACCTTTTACCTCTGTCTAGTCCTCAGATTTAAGGGGGCAAGATCCTGTCTCCCCAAATCCTCAGGAATGTGGTGAGCTCCTGTCTTCTCCTACCTTATTCCTCTCTCTCTCTCCCTAACCACATCCCTTCCTGTCTCCACCTCCCTAATGTTGGGATTAAAGGTGTATGACTCCCAAGTACTGGGATTAAAGGTGTGAGCCTCCATTGCCTTGCTCTTTTTCTTTGAGACAAGATCAATCTAGTGTAGTCCAGGGTGGCCTTGAACTCACAGAGACTCATCTGCCTCCCAAGTGCTGGGTTCAAAGGTGTGAGCCACCAATGCCTGGCCTCTATGGTTAACTAATGGCTAGCTCTACAGTCTGATTTTCAGGAAAGCTTTTTCTTGTTATAACACAAACAAAATATCACCACAAGTTAGTGGGACTGTAAAGATACCCCAGTGGTTAAGAGTGCTTGCTGCTATTTCACTGAGCCAAGAGTTTGGTTTCCAGTTTGGTTGGACAGCTCACAACCACCTGTATCTGGAACTATCTTTTGGCTTCCTCAGGTACCTGTGTGCTTATGCTCAAACACATACATACATAAATTAAAGTAAGTTTAAAGGAATTAGCAAGTATCTTGGATCTAAAAGAATATAAAACTACAGAAATTATTTTTCTATAAAACAGCAAAAATTTTTTTAAAAAAATATGCCTATGAAAGCATTGTAAAAATACATTTTTCTTTCCTGATCTTTTATCTAACCTCTTGGAGTAGATGCTTATTCATTAAATTACAGCTTTTTTACTATAACATATGTAGCTAAAGGTTCTAAATATTCCTATACATATTTCAGCTACAGTCCTTAAGTTTCATCACTGTGTTAAGATGGTGGCCGTTTATTTTATTTTATTTTTTTTGATTTTCGAGACAGGGTTTCTCTGTAGCTTTGGTGCCTGTCCTGGAACTAGCTATTGTTGACCAGGCTGGTCTCAAACTCACAGAGATCGGCCTGCCTGTGACTCCCGAGTGCTGGGATTAAAGGCGTGCACCACCACAGCCCGGCGGCTGTTTAATTTTTTTTTATTTGTAAACTTGTATATGCTGCATGTGTACTGAGTGCCCATGGAGGCAAGAAGAGGGTACTGGATCCCTTGGAGTTGGAGTTGCAGGTGTTTCAAGATACCTATGTGGGTGCTAGAACCTTAACTCAGGTCCTCTGAAAGAGCAATACATTCTTCTGACTGCTGAATCACCTTATTTGGTCTCAAGTCCAGAAGTCTCAAGTTTTGATGTGAAGTCTAGTTATCTTATTTTTTTAATATTGTAGTCTAGAATAGTTTCTGAATTTGAATATTTCAAGTGCTTCATCTAAAAGACTACATACATCCTTTTTTGTGTGTGTGAAGCCTGGTCTCATTGTGTAGCCCTAGCTGACCTGGAACTTGTTCTTTAGACCAGGCTGGCCTCCAACTCATAGAGATCTGCCTGCCTCTGCCTCACCAGTGCTGGGATTAAAGGTGTATGATACCATGCCCAGTCCTCCATTTTGAATTTAAGGAAATAGATAGCTTTCTTTTGATTAGCATAGAGATTACTAATCAATCTAAGGTTAACAATTGAATCATGTGATGCCATACGCCTTTGTAGTATTTATTTATTTATTTATTTATATGTATACAATATTCTGTCTGCATGTATGCCTGAAGGCCAGAAGAGGGCACCAGACCTCATTACAGATGGTTGTGAGCCATCATGTGGTTGCTGGGAATTGAACTCAGGACCTTTGGAAGAGCAGGCAGTGCTCTTAACCTCTGAGCCATCTCTCCAGCCCCCGCCTTTGTATTTTTAAAGTAGCTCGTTATTGCCTCTGTATGTCAGAGTGTGAGTGTGGGCTCATGAAAGCCATGTCACACAAGGAGGTCAGGACAGCTTTTGGAAGCTGGTTCTTTCTTTCCATTATGGGTTCTGGGAATTGTGCTGCAAGCGCTTTTACCTTTGGAACTGTCTCACCATCCCTGCTATATTATATCTAAAACAAAAATTCTGATAGTCTCTTTCATTTTAATCATGAATAACATTGCTATTTTCATAAATAAAAATGTGTAGCACAAATTCTAATTGGTCTTAGTAATAAAAACCCAGAGTCAGATAGTAGGGGGTGAAAACTGAAGGATCAGAGAAGAAAAAGCAGCCAGCCGCTAGTTCTTACCTCTACCAATACTTAGACCAAAGGGCGATCCTGTCCCTACAAATCCTCAGATTGCTGCTCTCTTTACAAAACCTGCATGCTCACACTGAGTCCTTAGACTGCATCTGAGCTCCTGTATCCTTCCACCTTATATACCTCTCTTCAACCAGTCATCTTGCTGCTGTCTCCACCTCCCTATGCTGGGATTAAAGGCATGTGACTCCAAGTGCTGGGATCAAAGTTGTGAACTCTGTTTCTCCTTGAGACTGGATTAATCTAGTCTCAGGATGTCTTTGAACTTACAGAGATTCATCTGCCACCTTTGTCTCCTGAGTGCTGAGATTAAAGAAGTGTGCCTCCACTACCTGACCTCTATGGCTAACCAGTGGCTTAGCTCTGTACTGTGATCTTCATTTGTACAAGCTTTATTTGTTACATTACAAACAAAATATCACTAGAAAACTGTCTTACTTTAAACCAGATTATTTTAACTTTAATGTTCTTATATAGATTATCATTTTTACAGTATACATTAACTATTTTTTATTTTTGAATTAAATTGTATAGGATTTGGAGCCTTGTAGATCATGCTTTAATAGCAAGATGTAATATGGAAGAACCGATTCGATGTGCTGCTGTCAATGTAGATGGAATCCATCTTGCCCTTGGAATGAAGGATGGGTCATTCACTGTCCTTAGAGTGAGGTATGCTATTAAAGTAGAAGCAGAAACAGTAATTTACTGTTTTATTAGAATGTAGAGTACTCATTGCTCTTACCCACTTGGATAAACTCTTCTTTTATATGTGTGCCAAATAAATGAATAGACTTAATTAAATGAACATACTTTTTGTTGGAAAATTAAACTCAAAAAGTTTTATCTGGGGACATTAAGGTTGCTTAGCAAATGTGTTGGAGAGATGGCTCAGTGTTTAAGAGAGCTTCTGTTCTTACACAGGAACTAGATTTGATTCCCAGAACCCACTTGATGGCTCACAACTACTTGTAACTCCAAGTTCTAGGGAACCTGACTCAGTCTTCTGGCTTCTACAGGCTTCTGCACATGTGTAGTTAGGATAACCTCAAACAGGTTCACAGATATATATATATATATATATATATATATATATATATATATATATATATATATATATATATGAAAAAGATGTTTTATTTTAAAAAAGAATGCCTAGTGCAGCAGTGGCCGCAGTGTGAACTACAATTTTGGGCCCTGACTTGCTGTTAGTAGTAGTATTTTCAGTTATGATCCTTTGTTGTTAAATATCCTCAAGGCTTTGAGAAATGATGGAGTGGGAGTTTATTTGCTTGTTTATATCTTCATGCTTTGAACAATACCTGTATTATAAATGCTTAAGGAATTTATTAAAAGGCTGGGCATAGTGGCATATGCCATTAATCCCAGCACCAGGAAGCAGAGGAAGCTGAATTTCTGTGAGTTTGAAGCTAGCCTGGCCTACCTACTGAGTTCCAGCCACCCAAGGCTGTATAGGTAGACCCTGTCCCAAACAAACAAACAAACAAACAAACAGAATTTGTTAAAGCTGTATCTAATTTATGTTGAATTATATTGAGTTTCTGTCCTTTGTAATCATTAAAAACAGTACTGTAGAGCCACAGCATGTTCACAAAACAGTGTTTATGAAATCTTTCTCCTCCAGCTCAGTAATCCTCTACCTAGAAATTTTTAATTCATTTTTAACTTTGCCTTTCTTGTTTAAGAACTGCTTCCACAGAAGCTGTCTAGTTCATTGCCTTCTGTGAAGCTTTACTATTATTTCCTGTGTAGTCTTTGCCATCTCCTCACAGGATCGGTGGAACAGCCCTCCTAACTGCTCTCTTTACCACCTCAAAACCATTCCCTGCTGCCGTGATAGAGATTCCTTCTTTCTTTATTAATTAAATCTGTATTTGACAATTTCATACACATATAATGCGTTCTAGTTACTCTCATTCCTTATCCTGTGTTAGCTTTCTACCCCCACCATCAACCCTTCTTTTTCCCTACACATCTCTTTCTCACACTCATTCTTTTTCCTTTGTTTTCTGACCACCGAGAGTAACTAGGGTCCTCTGTGTGACCATGGTTTGGAACTCTATTGGAGCCTGACAAGGCCATAGTGGCTACATAACTGAAGAAGCCTCTCTCCTAGCATACCTGTCTATAGCCAGTAATTTAGGTAGGGCCCTATGTGTCCCTCTATCTGCAAGTGATTAGGTAAGGTCATTGATGCCTTTTCTCCTCCAGCAACCCACATACCAGTCCTGGCACTGTGGAAGCCACAGTAGGAAAGAAGTTTCCAACTCACTTCCAGCTTGGTTTTAGAGATTTCTTTTAAGCCATACTTGTTTGCATTTATCCTTTCTCCAAAGGCTTTCTGCTCCTTAGGATGAAGTTTCTAATCCTTGACATGGTGTGTGAGGGGCCATCTCTCTGATCTGTTTTCTGTACCTCACTCTGTTTTTTTTTTCTTTTCTTTTTTCACCTGTACAAAACTTCTTCACAGCCGAGCCTGATGGTGCAGACTTGTTCTTAGCTGTTCAGGAGATTGAGGCAGAAGGATTGTGAGTTTAAGCCTGCCTGGGCTTGAGTGAGTTCAAGGCTAGCTTACTTAACTTTGTGACTCAAAATAAATAAATAAATAGACTGTAGTTAAATAGTAGAGTGCTTGATCAGTTGATTGCCAGTAAGAAAAATAAAAATAGATTTTTACAGTGGGATGTACTGTTATTTTTTCCTTAAAATTGTTTTTATTTAATGTCATATTTGCTTTCAGTCACTGTAGATGTCCAGTGACATTAAATACATCTACATTAATGTGTCATTACTATCATCTCTAAAACTTTTGATCTTTCTACATGATTTCAGTCTGACATGCTGAAGTCATCTTGATTTATAACTGTCATATTGATCAAGTTAACCTTAATCAGAATTTCCTACATAGTTTTCAAACATGCTACAAGTAGACAAAGGCTATGGAGTTATGTAGAGCTTTCAATGAGACCCTGGTGCTGGGAACATACCTGACTCCATGATGTTAGCAAGATAAACTTTCTTGCATGATTCTAGCAAGATGTCCCTCTTGCTAGCCCAGGTTGTGGGGATGAACCTGGGCTTGCTGATGAGTGCTTGCATCCATAGTTCCCAAAATTTCACCCTTTAAACCTGGATTTGTCTGCTTCTCTTTCTTTGGTTCTACTGTATTTTATTAGTTTATCTTTAGCTTTCATTGTTTTCTACTCTTTCTACTAGTTTCTGTTTCCACATTGTACTGTGCACCTTTCTTCAAATAGACCACACACTCTATCTTTTCTGTTTGTGCTGTATCTTATTCCTGAAGAATTGTCTCTCCTTTTTAAGACTTAGCCAGTGCCTCATGTCTTATGCTCAAGTCAGATTTACCATGCTGTGGCTCCTTCCTGCTTTCAATCTAGTCTTAGTTTGCCTTTCAGTATTTCTTACAGTTTAACATATTTCTCTTGAAAAATTGCTGGACATTGTCATAGTTATTTTGTGTTCATCTCTCATGAAAGGTCAGTTTAGTTTTGAATCCCTTGTACTAAAGCAACGTTAAGTGTTCAGTGCTATTAAAAGAATTTGAATGTTTGCTCTGACTTTCATTTAAAAACGTTAAGAATGAAGAAACATGCTTCTGCTTCTGAAATTGTCAGCCTGAAGCATTTCAAATAACCAATACAGAATTTATATGGAGAGATGGTTACCACCAAGAAGCAGTGATCCTTCCTTCCTCTTGCCCACATTCCCCATGTTTCTGTCCTCCTGACTTCTTCCAGTTCTAGAAGTTTGAAAACTCATTTGTGTTAAACTCAAGTGTCCATCACTTTTATGGCTGTTACCAATGCCTATGCTATTTTGGAGATTCCTTTTAAGGCATCCTAGGGAAAATGACTGAATCGTGGTCTATTTTTAAAATAATAAACTAAGCTGAGCATGGTGGTGTCTGCTTGTATTTTAAGTGCTTGGGAGCCTGAGAAGGATTGAAGTTTGAGGCCAGCCTGTGATATGGGATTCCTCTCTGTATGCTATGAATATGTTTTATTACCATTGATTATTAAAGAAGCTTTTTCAGTCAGTGATTTAGTAGAGTAAAGCAAGGTGGGAAATCTGAACAGAGATATAGAGAGAAAGAGTAGGCAGAATCAAGAGAGATGCCATGAAGCAGAAAGACACCAACCACCAGCCAGAACCTTACTGGTAGACCACAACCTCATAGCGGTACATAGATTAATAGAAATGGGTTAATTTAAGATGTAAGAGTTAGCTAGAAATATGCCTAAGCTATTGGCCAAACAGTATTATAATTAATACAGTTTTTGTGTTATTATTCAGGTCTGGGTGGCTGGGAAATGAACGAGCAGTCTCTGTCTACAAGCCTGGACTACATAATGAGACTCTTAAGAAAAGGGAACATTTGAAATAAAATTCACTAGTGGGGAAAAATGAATAAAAGCAACCAAGGCAGTTATATAAAGATATATATTCAAATATATTGCTCAAGTGGTAATTCTTTCATGCTTTTCTTATTTCCCAAATGTCAGTTTACACATTTGGCTCATTACAAAAATGTGTTTGAAAATTATGGTGTTTAAGAATATTCTATAAATTCAGTATTTACAAGGAACTTTTATCATTAAAAGTTTGAGTAAATATTTTATTATCTGAATCCAGAAATACAGTAGCGCTGTAGGGTACTTAAAAATAAGGTTATTTATATACTGAAATTTAGCATTTTTTCTCTTTTACTTTTTTTTCAGTGCTGGGGGTCAAGTCCAGGACTTCATGCTGGGCAAGTGCTCTATCATCACATACTACATCATCCAATTTTTTTCTATTTATTTCTTGTCAGCAAAATAATTATTCGCAAGCAGATACTACTTACCTTACTTACATGTATGTCACAGTTTGTAAATACATGATGGAACCTCAGTATTTGGGGACATTTTACAATTCTCTTTTGACTTTTGCTCATATGATCTTTTCTCTTTTTCACAGAGATATGACTGAAGTTGTGCATATTAAAGACAGGAAAGAGGCAATCCATGAGCTGAAATACTCTCCAGATGGCACTTACCTTGCTGTTGGCTGCAATGACAGCTCAGTTGACATCTATGGCGTTGCTCAGCGTTACAAAAAAGTTGGTGAATGTGTTGGTTCACTTAGCTTCATCACTCATCTGGACTGGTCTTCAGATAGTAGATATTTACAGACAAATGACGGCAATGGAAAGCGGCTTCTGTATAGGATGCCAGGTGAACTTTTCTAGCACGCTACATGTAGTTCATTGACTTTTAATGTCTGTGGTATTTAAATTTTCATTAAGAGTAAATTGTAAATTATATTTGACTATAGGCAGAGTAATCTGTGCTATTTCAGGCTTTATGGCCTTTTCTTCAAGACAAATATCTTTAGAATTCTTTCCCATCAGAATATTGAGTTGTAAGTGACTCAAAATTCTATACGTTTAAAATTTATAATGTGATCTTTAAAAAAAAACATTGAAATAAGGTCTCATTATGTTTCCTGGCTAACCTGAAACTGACTGTGTAGTTCCAGTATGCTGGTCTCAGATTTTGAGATCCGCCTACCTCTACCTCCAAAGTGCAGTGATTAAAATTGTGTACCACCATGCCCAGCCCAGTGTGATTTAAAAAAAAAAGTATGTACATACATTGGACATTGTAAAATGATTTTCACCATTACATTAATTGTCATATCTATCTCCTAATACAGTTATTGTATTTCTATGGGTAGTAGACACATTCAAGATCTTTGTTAGCAGATTTCAAGTATACCATGCAATAATACAGTGTGAATAGAAACAGTTACTGCACTGTACATTCAGAAAGGACACTCAGAATTCATCATGCACACCTGGAACTTAGTGCCCTGGAGAACATGTCCCCATCACAGCACTTCCCCAGCTCTTGGATACCAGCATTGTAAACCCTTCTTAATTAAAACTCCAAACCTCTCAAAATGACCTTCTACACCTCTACTTAATGTGGTGCTTTGTGAATTAATCACTCTTATAAGAACTTATTTTTTCATAAACTTTGTTTCTAAATAATATTATTTTATTATTTTTTCTTTCTTTATTTTTATTTATTAAAAATTTCCACCTCCTCCCCGCCTCCCTTTTCCCTCCCCCTCCCCACCTCTTCCTCCTTCTCTAGCCTTAAGAGCAGTCAGGGTTCCCTGCCCTGTGGGAAGTCCAAGGTCCTCCCCCCTCCATCCAGGTCTATAAAGGTGAGCATCCAAGCAAACTAGGCTCCCACAAAGTCAGTCCATGCAGTAGAATAAAAATCCAGTGCCATTGTCCTTGGCTTCTCAGTCAGCCTTCATTGCCAGCCACATTCAGAGTGTCCATTTTGATCACATACTCCAATACTCCCAGTCCAGCTGGCCTTGGTGAGCTCCCATTAGATCAGTCCCACTGTCTCAGTGGATAGACGCACCCCCCGTGATCCTGACTTCCTTCATGTTCTCCCTCCTTCTGCTCCTCATTTGGACCTTGGGAGCTCAGTCCAGTGCTCCAATGTGGGTCTCTGTCTCTGTCTCCATCCATCGCTAGCTGAAGGTTCTATGGTGATATGCAAGATATTCATCAGTGTGGCTATGGGACAAGGCCAGTTCAGGCACCCTCTCCTCTGCTGCCCAAGGAACAATCTGGGGACCTCTTCTTGGACCTGGGAACTCCTCTAGAGACAAGTCCCTAGCAAACCCTAAAATGGCTCCCTTAATTAAGATATTTACTTCCCTGCTCCCATATCTACCCTTCCTCCATCCCACCCATCCCATTCCCCCAAGCTTTTGGCATAATAAATCAATGCATCTTTACCCGAGATTTTCATTAATGATATGAGTTCTAAAGTCCTCTTACCTAACACAAATGTATCACCCTCCATTGATCATTCCTTTTTAGTCTTTTTCAGCCCCCTCCCAATTATATATCTTGAGGTTTTTTTTTAATACCTGATTTGTCACTTTGTCATAGCTTTTCCCCTTTCTTCTTTTCCTTCCTTCTCTCTTTCCCTGTCTCCATCCATCCCCTCCTTCCTTCCCTTCGACTCTTCTCTCTCCCCCTCCCTTCTACCTTTTTTCCTCCTCCCTCTTCCTTCCTTCCATCCCTCCTGTTTGTTTGTTTTTTATTGAACATATTACAGAATATGTTCAGTAAAAAATATCAAAGCCCATGCCGTTAGTAGACCCCCTTAGTTTCTTCCTCTGCTTCCACTTTCTTCTCCTATGCTGGGACAGCAGCTGTACAGTAAGCAGTCGGTTCAGTGATGTCCTGAAGATGAGGACAGAGCAGATGTAGGAGAGCTCAGAGACCACTTGTTGTCAGAAGGGGATCTCACTCTACCCCACAGCTTCCTCAGAACCAAGCACCTTGACAATCCCCCCCAAAGGCATCTTTTGCTTTTTCTCACACCTTGCTCAGTTGTCACTAATCTTTATCATGATTTTAATATGATTCAGTTCTGTTTTCCATATGGATGAGCCTGCTGAACTGATAATTATGTTCAAACTCTCTAAATCAATATGATGTTAATAACATTTAAATTTTTCTAATTTTGTTTTTTCTTCTAACCCACACTTACCTGTCTGTTCATGCATTCTTCTATAACTTAGGAATAAGGTGTTGAAATTTACATTTGAGTGAAAAGAATCAAATGAAGTAATTTCTTAAATGAAGACTATTTTATTTTTAGGAGGAAAGGAAGTGACAAGCAAAGAAGAAATAAAAGGTGTTCACTGGGCTTCATGGACATGTGTTTCAGGCCTTGAAGTCAATGGGATTTGGCCCAAGTATTCTGATATCAATGATATAAATTCAGTGGATGGAAATTATGTTGGCCAGGTTTTAGTTACAGCTGATGACTATGGAGTTGTAAAATTATTTCGATATCCATGCTTAAGAAAAGGTATCTTTTTAATATTTTCACTAACCCTCTCATAAAAGATGTTATGTTCTTACATAATCTAGATAAATGATACAAATTAATATTTTAGAGTGTATATTAATTGGTATTGACTGTATTTTATCATTTCAAAAATTATTGTACTCTTACATTTATTTTTTTAGTCATGAAATTTTTACCAAAAATTATCCTTGAATTCATTATAACATGGCAGTAATGATTTCTCACCTGACTTGTTAATAGTTACTACACACATATTAAAGTCAACTCCACAACAGTGATTACGAGAGCAGATGAGGTAGCTTGATCCAAGTCTATAGTGAGCACATCTGACTTAAGGACTGGGTTTTCATGGAAGCCCAAGCTGTACTGATACTGTGCATATGCACTGGTGATGAATTTAAGGCCCTGCAGTCCCTTCATGCTGCCAGTTCCTCTCTGTGAATGTCAGGTGCTCTAAGGACATAAGTAATTTGAGTCTGTGAATAAAGGCTGGCTGTATTTTTAGTGAGGAAAACCCCTGTTTGTAATCTTCTACCACAGGACATGTGAGGCATCAGACATTATTCGATGCTTTTTTTTTTAAATAGATTCATCTATGTTGTTTTATGTACTTTTTGTTTTTATTTTTACTGCCATAATATAATTGTGTTGTAAAGCATGTTATAGTTTGTGCATCTATTTTCCCATTAGTTGATATTTGAGTCATTTATAGTCTTTTGTTAACATGTGTAAGTTTCCCAGAAGTGTGTACAGTGTGAAACTGTTGGATGATAGAGTATATGGATGCTGAACTTTATAAGAAAATATCAGTTTGCTTTGGCCCACAGCCTGTTCAGCACTTGGCCTGACCATGTGTCCTTCTAATTTTTGCAAATTTAGGTACTGTAAGTCATATTTTGCAGTCTCATTAAAATTTATACTAATGAGACTGTGCTTCATTTTCAGATGTTTTGGGGGAAGTTTCTGTGTTTCCTGTGTCAAACAGAGTTCTCTTTGCTATATGGTTGCTTCTTTTGTTGAACTATTGACATATTCCAATAGATTCAGGTGGTTTATGATTTTTATGGATTGCAAGTATCATTTCTCAATGTGCAGCCAGTTCTTTTCTTTTTTCTGAGAGATGGTCTCTGTGGCCCAGATTGGCCTCAAATTTATTATGTAGTTGAAGAGGCTAGACCCAAGTTTTTATCTGCCAGTCTCCACCTCCTAAATACAGGAATTGCAGGCATGTGCTACCATGCTAGCCCTCTTTGCATTTTCTTAATCTTTTATCAATAACTTCTTAATTTCTATACTACCAGATCTTTTTATCTTTTTCCTTTAGTTGTGTGTGTGTGTTGCCTTTGTATATGAGTGCACACATAGATGTGCATTGCCATAGCACATGTAGAAGGTGAGAGAACAACCTTGAGTATTGATCTTTATCTTCCACCTGGTTTAAGACAGGGTCTTTTTGTTATTCACTGCTGTGTATACCAGCCTATCTTGCTCATGAGTTGGATTCTCCTGCTTCCACCATCCATCATGCCTTAAGAACACTGGCATGTACATTGCCAAGTCCAGCTTTATCTGGGGCCTGGGAATTTGAATTGAGGTCTTCAAACTTGAACAGCAAGTACTTTATTCACTGAGCCTTCTCTTCAGCCCTCATCTGTTTTCTAATGGATAATGTTGTTTTATATATTAAGAAATTTTCCTTAGCATGGAAAGTGGGTAGAGGTTTTTTCCCAGTGTAAAACTATTTATTGATCACTGTTTAACTTTATTTTCAATAAAATTAGCAGTGTGCAGTTGGATAATATTCAGATACAGCGAAGTTATTTTCCTGGCTTCTGCTGAACAAGTAATCCAAATAATGAAAGATTGGGCCTACCAGTAAGGAGCAAATCAGAGTAAAGAAAAAACATGCTCAATAACATATATTACCAAACTTATTCACTTCTATGTTGGGAGATCTTCAGTTGTCAGTGTCTGTACAAATACATGTCCATAAGGCATTTTAGATAGCCCATGGATCAAAGCCTCTCAGTATATAGATTTTCACTTTCTGTAAAGGAATGACTCACTGTAGGAGCCTGTACATGTCCATTTGACTCTGGCTTAGCTAATTAAAACAAACGGGAATCTATTTAGTTTGCCTGAATAAGAGTTGGAAATTGTTAATAAATAAATAAATTAAAAAGAATTTTCACCTCCTCCCCTCCTCCCACTTCCCTCCCCTCCCATTCCCCACTCTTCCTCCCCCTTCACCATCCCCCACCCAAAGAGCAGTCACGATTCCCCATCCCATGGGAAGTCCAAGGTCCTCCCCACTCCCTCCAGGTCCAGGAAGGTGAGCATCCAAACAGACAAGGCTCCCACAAAGCCTGTCCATGCAGTAGAATCAAAGCCCAGTGCCATTGTCCTTGGCTTCTCAGTCAGCCTCCACTGTCAGCCACATTCAGAGAGTCCGGTTTGATCACATGCTCCATCAGTCCCATTCCAACTGGCCTTGGTGATCTCCCATTAGATCTGTCCCACCGTCTCAGTGGGTGAACGTATCCCTCGCAGTCCTGACTTCCTTGCTCATGTTCTCCCTCCTTCTGCTCCTCATTAGGACCCTGGGAGCTCAGTCCAGTGCTCCAATGTGAGTCTCTGTCTCTATCTCCATCCATCACCAGATGAAGGTTCTATGGTGATATGCAAGATATTCATCAGTGTGGCTATAGGACAAGGCCAGTTCAGGCACCCTTTCTTCTGCTACCCAAGGAACAAGCTAGTGACATCTCCTTGGACACATGGGAACCCCTCTAGAGTCAAGTCTCTTGCAAACCCTAAAATGGCTCCCTTAATTAAGATATATACTTCCCTGTTCCCACATCCACCCCTGCTTCATCCCAACCATCCCATTCCTTCAATCTCTCCCCATCCTCCCCTTCTCCCTTCTCTCCCCCCATCTCCCCTTATCTCCACTTCACCCCCACCCCCGTGCTCCCAACCCCTGCCCAGCAATTTTGTAAACTTCCAATATTCAGGAGGATAACTGAATGATTTTCTTCAGGTTCACCTTCTTATTTAGCTTCTCTAGGATCACGAATTATAGGCTCAAAGACCTTTAATTATGGCTAGAATCCACTTATGAGTGAGTACATACCATATTCCTCATTTTGTGTCTGGGTTACCTCACTCAGTAAAGCGTTTTCTATTTCCATACATTTGCATGCAAAATTCAAGATGTCATTGTTTTTTACCGCTGAGTAAAACTCTAATGTGTATATGTTCCACATCTTCTTTAACCATTCTTCTATTGAGGGGCACCTAGGTTGTTTCCAGGTTCTGGCTATTGCAAATAGTGCTGCTATGAACATAGTTGAACAAATGCTTTTTTAGTATGATTGAGCATCTCTTGGGAATATTCCCAAGAGTGGAATTGCTGGGTCCTGAGGGAGGTTGACTCCCAGTTTCCTGATAAACCGCCACACTGATTTCCACAGTGGCTGCACAAGTTTGCATTCCCACCAACAATGGATGAGTGTTCCCCTTACTCCACATCCTCTCCAGTATAGGCTATCATTGGCGTTTTTGAGTTTAGCTATTCTGACAGGTGTAAGGAGAGATCCCCAGATTGTTCCCTGGACAGCAGAGGAGAGGGTGCCTGAACTGGTCTTGGCCCATAACCATACTGATGAACATTTTGGATATCACCATAGAACCTTCATCTGGCGATGAATGGAGATAGAGACAGAGACCCACATTGGAGCACTGGACTGAGCCCCCAAGGTGCAAATGAGAAGCAGAAGGAGGGAGAACATGAACAAGGAAGTCAGGACCGCAAGGGGTGCGTTCACCCACTGATACAAGGGGACTGATCTAATTAGAGCTCACCAAGGCCAGCTGGACTGGAACTGAATGAGCATGTCATCAAACCGGATTCTCTGAATGTGGCTGACATGGGGGCTGTCTGAGAAGCCATTGATAATGGCACTGGGACTTGTTTCCTCTGCATGTACTGACTTTTTGGGTTCCTAGTCTGTTTGGATGCTCACCTTCCTAGACCTGGATGGAGAGGGGAGGAACTTGAACTTCCCACAGGGCAGCGGTAAAAAACAATGACATCTTGAATTTTGCATGCAAATGTATGAAAATAGAAAACGCTTTACTGAGTGAGGTAACCCAGACACAAAATGAGGAATATGGTATGTACTCACTCATAAGTGGATTCTAGCCATAATTAAAGGTCTTTGAGCCTATAATTCGTGATCCTAGAGAAGCTAAATAAGAAGGTGAACCTGAAGAAAATCATATGGTTATCCTTCTGGATATTGGAAGTAGACAAGATTGCCAGGCAACCTTGGGTGCACGGGGGGGGGGGTGGTGGGGGGGGTGGGGTAGTGGAAGGAAGGGGAGATGGTTAGAGAGAAGGGAGTAGGGAAGGATTGGGGAAAGCTTGGGGGAATGGGAAAGGGGGAGGGAGGAAGGGTTGATATGGGAGCAGGGAAGTAAATATCTCAACTAAGGGAGCCATTTTAGGGTTTGTAAGAGACTTGATTCTAGAGGGGTTCCCAGGTCCATGTGTTTTTTTTTAAATCATCTTCAGAGATTAGGAAAGCTTCTATGCCCATTTTAGCCGTGATAAATCTTGACTTTGAGATGTTGGTCCTAATTAACCAATACAATACCCTTTAGCCTAAACGGTTTTTATTTTATTTATTAAAACATTTTCTTTTATTTTGCTTATTGAAATATTTTATTTCCTGTCGCAAAGTCTAAAAGAGATTATGGCAAGTTCAGATCCTGTGCTATTAAGTAATTGAGCCAGTGCTCAAACTGCAGTCTCTGCTTTCCGTTCTAATGGCTTCCAAGCTGTACTGTGCTCCTGTCCTCTGTGAACTGCAAATGCTCATGCCTTCCCTTTGCTTTGCTGCTTTTCACCCACCTTTTATATTCTAGCAGTCCAGTGCTGGTACAGAGACAGATCAGGGGGAAGTATAATCTATCTTCCTTCCTTCCTTCCTTCCTTCCTTCCTTCCTTCCTTCCTTCCTTCCTTTTTCTCTCTTAAATATGTTTGCTGTGTGCCAGGCATTAGGGATATATAGACACTACTTAGATTTCAAAGTATAAGCATAGGGGAGTAATCACAGGATTCTCAAAGCAAGTGGAAGAAACCTTACTTGGTCCTGGTGTAGCAGAGTCACTTTATGAAAGATGTGATATCTAGACCCACCATTAAAACAGTGGTTTATCATAGACACTTAGAAGTACTGGCAATTACATTATTCTTTTTTTGCTTGTTTATTTCTGGTAGAGTGGTTTAAATCCAAGCCTTTGTACATACTAAGCATAAGCTTTGCCTCTGAACTATACTCCCAGCCTCTATATAATTATTATTATAGTCCTTTTGACTAGAAATAATTGGTTTCAGGGCTGGAGAGATGGCTTGGCAGTTAAAAAGACTTGTTATTCTTGCAAGGAACCTAGGTTGGATTCCTTGTAACCACATGGTGTCTTACAATCATCTATAACTCCAGTTTCTAGGGAATACAATACTCTCTTCTGACCTCTCTGAGCACCAGGCACACATGTGATGCACAGACATACATGCAAGGAAAAACACTCATATACATAAAAAGATCTAAAAAATTTTTAAAGAAATTTTGATTTCTCTTAGACTAATTTTTACAACTTTATTACTGAACTTCATTTTTTAAGCCATGGGATTGGCTTTTGAAGAATCTGAAAGGAAAGTTTAAAAGGGAATTATAGGACTAATTGTACCTGTCTGGACAATACCACTTGGAGTAGTCACTTAGAGATGTTCAGATGACCTTTAGTTTGCCTCAAAACAACAAAACCAATATATCTTTTTTGGGGGGTAGGAGGGATTTTGAGACAAGGTTTCTCTGTAGCTTTGGAGCTTGTCCTGGAACTTGCTCTGTAGACCAGGCTGGCCTAGTACTCACAGAGATGCACTAGTCTCTGCCTCCCAAGTATGGGGATTAAAGGTGCGCATCACCACCTCCTGACTAAAATCCATATATCGTAAAGCTTGGATTTGCCTCTGCTGTGGTTTTTGACTTTACCTTTAACATTTTCTTGGCCAGCAATACATGAATACATCATGAAAAGAATTAGCGGTCAGCTTCACTGGGACACTTTTCTTCCTACTGGAAGGCTTGCCATATCCAGCTGTGTTGTTAGTCTTATTATATCTTGTTAGGCCATGTTCAGTGGATGTCCCTGGAATACCTTCTCTCTCTCTCTCTCTCTCTCTCTCTCTCTCTCTCTCTCTCTCTCTTTCTCTCTCTCTTTCTAAAACAGGGGAGTTGATCTGGGAAAGAGGGAAAATTGTTGTCAGAATTTAATGTATTAGAAAAGAATACAAGTTAACAAAACAAAGTTAAAAAAAATATTAGTGGACAAAGCCTTCTTCACCAGCATGCAATATATCCCACATAAGAGGAATAAGGCTAAATCTTTCTTGATAGGAGTTTGCCAGGCTAAACTGTGAAGAAATTATAAATCTGGAAAGTAACTAATTTCTACTGTCATATAAAACATTATTTTAGGAAAAATAATTGTAAAAATTATTCTTTAGGTTTGTAGATGTGGGTCAGTGGTGAAGTACTTGGCTAGCATGCACAAGGCCTTGGACTTGATCCCTAACACTGAAAATCTGTTTTTTCTTAGAATAACAGCGTTACACTTAAGAAATAAAATGTAATCATGGATGAATTTTCATCACTATTTTATGCCTTGACAAAGATGGCTGTCTGCCAGATTCAGTGGTACAGTATATGCTTATAGCCCCAACACTCAGAAGATTGAGGCAGGAAAATCATGAATTTAAGACCAGCCAAGGCTGCATAGTAAGAGCTGATTTCAAAATAACAAGATAAAACAACAACAACAGAAAATGAAACAAACAAAATCCTAAATTCATGATCACGATTAAAACTTTTCTCTTGGTTTTCATTTATGGAATTTTTGACATCTCAACATACAGATCTTATAAAACTTTTAAAACAGTATCAGAATGAAGTTAAGCATTATTGCATCCACTGTATTTTAGCAGAGCTATGTATATGTTGCCACATCAAATCATGATATAGAGTATACAATAAACATAGAATTTCAGAAATAGTTGCTGCTATCACATATTTTAAAAGTAACTAACAGTTCCTTTAAAACAGGAGACATTGTGTATAAACCTTAACCAAATTATATGATTTAACATTTTTAACAGTAGACCCTACTGTGCCTTCTGATACAGTATTTGAACTGGGAAGATGGCTTAGAAGAGAGCTTATGCACAGACCTGATGACCTGCATCCAATCTCTGAGGCTCTCAAGATAGCAGGAGAAAACCTATTCAGATCTGTCACCTCCTTAGGTGTCCTGTGTTGTGTGTTTGTGTGTGCATGTGCTTACAAGCACACATCCAATAAATAAAAACATTTAAATGGTGAAATATTACATAAGACAAAGCCATTTGTTTCATCATGGAAAAACAATAGACAAATTCAAGTTAAAGTATTCAACAAAATATATGGAGTTAAAATTAGCCACAAAAAATGCTGGAACAACTGGGAATATTTGATATTGATTATATCAACTAGTTAAATTACACTGACTGCCTTTTTTTTTTAAATGTTGCACCAACCTTATATTCCTGGAACAAGTCACCATAGGTTTTGCTGTTAATACTTTTTTAATATGTGGCTGGATTCTTTTATTTATACTTTCTTGGTGTCTTAAGCTTTCAGAGGAGTTTTTGACTGGTTAGGTTTGGGGTACTGTGGATGGGGTAAGTTAGACTAGTTGTGTGAATTTCACTTGAAAACAAAGACCTCAGGTCAAAGCAGTCTACCGTAACATTAAAAACTGATCTCCAAGCTTTTCTCAGGGTGAGCTTTTCTCATTATGCCTTACAGGTTTTTGTTCTTATGCTTGTTTTGTTTGTAGATAAATAGATTTTTATTACACAGAGTGTGTTATTTGGTTCATATGTTTTGCTTTATATTCATTTCTGTGTTAATGGGGTGTCTGATACACATTAAACAAACAATATAGCACTGAAGTATATACTGAAGCTCCTTTTAAAACACTGTGTTTTGAGGTAAGGTCTCACTAAGTTGCTCAGGCAGGCCTTGAACTTGTGCTTTACCCAGTTTAGCCTCCCTAACAAAGCATTTTAAATGCCAATTCTATAGGTCTTTGAAATATTTGAAGACCATCTGTCTTTCTAAAATATATCTTTATATGATCTGGAAAATATACCTAGCATATCTACAAATTTGATTGTTATAGATGACTACTGACCTGTGTTTCTTGATTATCCTAAATAGTCCATAATAATAGCTTTCAAAAACTAGAATTTTACCTTATATTTTTTAAATGAACTGCATATATACAATAACTTAAACAAGAATAGAAACATATATACAATTTGTGGTAACAAAAATTAACTTAAATTTTTATCAATATACAAAAGTCATTTAAACAAGAGTAAAAACATATATACAATGTAACATCAGTGGTAGTGTTTGTGTGTTTTTCTTCTTTGGGATTTGCTGGTATGAGGTTATCTGTTGCCTGTGTTTTCTTGGGTGCAGCTACCTTCCTTGGGTTGGAGTTTTCCTTCTAGTACTCTCGTAGGGCTGGAATTGTGGATAGGTATTAATTAAATCTGGTTTGTCATGGAATACCTTGTTTTCTTCATCTATGTGAATTGAAAGCTTTGCTGGATATAGTAATCTGGGCTGTCATCCATGGCCTCTTAGTGTCTGCATAATGTCTGACCAGTCTTGAACCATTTCTTTTACCTGTTTGATTGCTTTTTCTTGGTTTTCTTTAAGGAATTTATTGATTTCGTGTTGTCTTTTCCTCCATTTCTTTAAGGAGTTTTTCATTTTCTCTGTCATCTTCATAAAGCTATTTTAGGTCATTTTCTTCTGCTTCATCTGTGTTGGGATGCTCAGGACTCGCTGTTGTGGAACCACTAGTTTCTGGTGGTGCAGTATTGCTCTTTGTGTTGTCTAGTGTATTTTCACACTTGTGTTTTCTTACCCATCTCTTTTCTAATTGGAACAGCTAGAGCCCATGTTTTTTTGGAGGGTCCCTTTTCCTCTAATTGGTTGTGATTGCTTTTTCAGGTATAGGCAGAGGAGAGCCTTCAGTGATTGTTCCTTCAGGTGCCTATTTGCCCAGGGCTCAGATGGTCATTCCTCCTGGTGTTGGCGGGGCTGAGGCTGAGGCTCTGGTGGTCAGATAATTTCTGGAGGCCACTAATATCCTTGCAACCTGCTGCATTGCTGCTCAGGCTTTTTCTCCAGGCTGCTTGGCCTGGCCCACCCACTGCTGTTCACATTCTCCTCCCAGCAGCCTGGCCTGGTTCACGGCTACTGCTCATGCTTCTCCTCCTGGCTCTGATAAACATTTTTAGAGTTCACAGGTGTCGCAGTTGGTAGGACTGATGAGCTTACCTCACTTGGCCAGCATGTGTAGCACCTCCTGGTATTATGAAAGCTAATCATCAGAGAGGAGGCTTTAGGTCAGATCTAGCTGTATTCCTCCAAGTCCTGTGTCCAAAGCACATAGTGTCTTCAGCAGTAGGAATTTAGTGCAGTTTTTGTGGTCCTACCAAAATATATTGTAAAATCAGTAAAGGAAACATTTGCACACTTCAGTTTATTCATTTGTTCACTTAGCTAATTATTTTACATCATTTTCCCATCTGGTCATACTTAAGATAATGGTATGATGTTGTAATAGTTTGAATAAAGTAGCTGTGTAGTAGTTTGAATAAAGTGGTATTTTTGTGTATTGGCCTTTATCAATTTAAAGATATATTTTTTTTGTTATAGGGGCCAAGTTTAGAAAATATATTGGTCATTCAGCTCATGTAACTAATGTCAGATGGTCACATGATTATCAGTGGGTTATTTCTATTGGTGGAGCTGATCACTCTGTGTTTCAGTGGAAATTTATTCCTGAAAGAAAATTAAAAGATGCTCTTCACATAGCACCCCAAGGTAAGCTTAAATAGCTTCCTCATTCATAGTTCCAAATTAATGATTTTACCATAATAGCTTACTAATAGCAGAACTTTCTGTTGAAATAGGTCTATATTTTTAAAGTCAGGTGTCACAGAGTATGCCATGTGAAATAATTGGCTTGAAATTTAACTTATCAAATGAGTAAAGTAATAGTTCTACTAGCAAAACTAGCAATCTTTTATCACAGAGATACAGGTTCCTAGCTTTTATATATGCTACAAAAACAAAAAAAATCACTTCACCTGTTGTGTGTAGTATTTTTAATGTTGATTGTAGGTTATATTCACTTATCTACATATACATTTAAATTTGATGTAGTCATCATTGGGGAGTCTGTGGAGGGATTTAAAGGAGCTATTGAGTTCGCAGTGAGTGGACAGGAAGATAATCTGTAGTAGTACAGTTTGCTGACATCTGTGTCACTTGAATAGGTAATTTCATTTTATTGTTTTATGGCTTTTTTCCATGCCAAACTGACAGAGTCAGTTAAATCCCTTAATTATTAATTTTACATTGTTGTTTTGAAAGTAAATCTTTAAACAAATGATATTTCATTTTTAAAAATGTACAGAAAGTCTGGCTGAGTCCAACAGTGATGAATCAGATTCAGATCTATCTGATGTTCCGGAACTGGATTCTGAGATTGAGCAAGAGACACAGCTTACTTACCATCGGCAGGTAATGTCCTAGTAGCCTATGATGTTGTCCCCCAAAAGTTCACGTTCTTTGTCTTAATTTCTGTTACTCATATCTGTTCTGGATTTGTTTGGCTTTAATTTTTCCAGTAATGAGTGTCTCTTTCAGTTTTCTCCCTTTAAATATCATAGCACGCTTGAATAAAATGGTCTTTTGTATTAAATGCTTGATGTACTAAGTAAGTCTGAATTCTGTTTGTCTGTAGAATTTTGTCACAGTAGACCACCACATTCCCTTTGAAGTGTTTCATTCTGAAGTAAAAAGTTCTTGGACTACTAAGTTTTAAATAGTGTTCTCTTACCAACATCTGAAACTTACGTTGAGTATATGAGCATCTTTATTAATACCTACCCTAATCGTATTGTTATGTACATACATTTTTAAGGTTTACAAAGAAGATCTACCTCAGCTTAAAGAACAATGCAAAGAAAAACAGAAAAGTGCTACTTCTAAACGAAGAGAACGTGCTCCTGGAAATAGTATTCGATTGCACTTCATTCATGGGTATAAAATACTATTTTTTATTTGTGTGCTTGAATTTGAGCTTGGCAAGTCATCCCACCTTGCTGTGTCTCTGTTTCCCTCTCTTCAAATTGGTGCCTGACTAAAAATGTCACAATGAGGAATAAACAAACAATGCCATTGATGATGGACAGCATTGTCTGGCACACATTGAGCCACCATGAAAGTCTTGATTAAATTTCTAAAAACTGTTTATTGAAAGCTCATATAACTGGGCATCTCACCTTAAAAAAATGTGGGATATAATGAACTCTCCTACAATGTGATTAAATTGAAATTTTCTGAGTCCCCTTTTACCTGCCTATTTATTTTTTTTAATTAATTTTATTGAGCTATACATTTTTCTCTGCTCCCCTTTCTTCCTCTCCCCTCCCATTCAACGCTCTCCCATGTTCCCCATGCTCCCAATTTACTCAGGAGATCTTGTCTTTTTCTACTTCCCATGTAGATTAGATCTATGTATGTCTCTCTTAGGGTTCTCATTGTTGTCTAGGTTCTCTAGGATTGTGAATTGTAGTCAGGTTTTCTTTGCCTTATGTTTAAAAACTACTTATGAGTGAATACATATGATAATTGTCTTTCTGGATCTGGGTTACCTCACTCAATATGATGTTTTCTAGATTCATCCATTTTCCTGCAAAATTCAAGATGTTATTTTTTCTGCTGTGTAGTACTCCATTATGTAAATGTACCAAATTTTTCTTATCCATTCTTCAGTCGAGAGGCATTTAAGTTGTTTCCAGGTTCTGGCTATGACAAACAAAGCTGCTATAAACATAGTTGAGCCCATGTCCTTGTGGCACGATTGAGCATCCTTTGGATATATACCCAAAAGTGGTATTACTGGGTCTTAAGAAAGGTTGTTTCCTAATTTTCTGAGAAATCACCACACTGATATCCAAAGGGACTGTACCAGCTTGCATTCCCACCAGCAATGCAGAAGTGTTCCCTTTTCCCCACAACCTCTCCAGCATAAGTTGTCATCAGTGTTTTTGATCTTTTACCTGTCTAATGTTTAGCTAATTGTTCTTAGTTTCTAGCATCCATCAGAGCATATCCTGTACAGGCCTACATTTTAGCTCTATAACAGCAAGTTTCTACCGCAGCAAACATGCATTTTCTCACCAGATTGTTAATACTTTCTAAGAATTTGTAAAGAGTTTGTTATGAAAAGTATTTCCAGGGATAGGTCAGTGGTTAGGAAGGTTTTCTGCTCTTCCATGAGACCTGAATTCTGTTTCCAACACCTATGGCCTCCAAGGGCACCTGCACACATTTAACAGATCCACCCACACAACACATAGATAAAATAAACCCTAAAAATAAAGAATATACCTTCTAGTGTTATAATAGATGATATTTGACTGTGTTGTGTGAATTGGACTTCTTTGAATCACAAAGTAAGGTTATTGTCATTGATGGGATTGTATTAACCATTTTAATTAACTAATTAAAATATGTAAATATTTCAATTTATCATTTAAAGTTACTGTTGGGATATGTATTATTACATTGTCACAGTTCAACATTGTGCTTAACTAAGTACTTCTTGAAATCCTCTCACGTCTCCTCACTACCTGCACCTAGGTGTCATTTCCTTCCCCTATAAATAATATTTACTTTCAGAAATATTTGAATACAAATATGTATTCATTCCTTACTCTATTGTGTATTAAAGGAAGTGGTTTTGCATTGTAGAATACAAATTAGTGGTTTTGCAAATACTAGAAAACAGAAATTTCTGTACCTGATTTCTTTCATGAATACCTTAGCCTAGATTTAGCTATTTGTAACCAGAGAGACTCATAACAGTGTGTAGATTCTAAGAAACAGGCATTTTCCTTTAACTATTCAGTTCCTTTAAGACCAGAAATTAAGTGACCTGAATGATATTTATTTCTCTGTATATTAAATATTGATTAGATGAAAGATTAAGATGCATTGTACATGATTTATTTTCTGCATTAGTTACAGAGGTTATGACTGTCGAAGTAATCTTTTCTACACTCAAATTGGTGAAATTGTGTACCATGTGGCAGCAGTAGGTGTCATCTATAATAGACAACAGAACACACAGCGTTTTTACCTGGGTCATGATGATGACATTCTGTGTCTGGCTATTCATCCTTTGAAGGACTATGTGGCCACAGGCCAGGTAAGTTCCCTTAAAGTTCATGTGACAATAAATCAGGTAGGCAACCTTTTCAAAAACTTGCTTTTGAGATTTATTTTTATGCATCATAATCTTAGTGTCCTCTTGAGGTGATACTCCAAGTGACTCAGTTCTATATCTTAAAGGTTCTATCATTCCTGATAACAGCCATGGGCTAGAGATCAACTCTCATGTGTATATTAGAGGGCCCTTCACATCCAAACTATAGCACCAACTTAAAGATGAATAGGATGGGAAGAGTGGGGGTGGGTGGGTAAATAAGAAGGTATGTTTGAAGTTTCTTCCATGAAGAAGAGATACAGTAACAAAGAAAGGAAGGAAGAGCATTGAGAATCCAGAGAGATAAATGCTCAACTAAAGAACACATAACACCAGAAAGATAAACACAAGTTCCAGAAAAAAATACACCTTACTAGAAGAGTAAACAAATGACGATTATAAATCAAACATTATTGAATTTGTACTCAGAAAGCTTCTAAGGTGAAGAAAGAAGAACTCAGCACATACTCTTTAATAATAACCCCAAGTGTAAATGCTCTGAACCCTCCAAGTAAAAGATGAAGCCTGAGGAGGCTGTCACTGAATGGGAAGCACCTTCTTGGCTCCAGTGCCTAGCCAGTGAGCTCTGGAGATCTGCCATCTCTGCTCCTCAGTGCCGAGGTTACAGCCACAGACAACAGTACTGACTTTGTAGTAGATATTAGGGATTCAAATTAGATCTTCAGGTCCTCGTGCTTGTAGAGCTAATGTTCTTACTCACTGGACCATCTCCCCAATCCTTAGAATCTAGATTTCATATTTATTTATGGTGTGTGTGCAAGCGCATGCATGCACATGCACACATGGAGGTTAAAAGTGACTTGCAGGATTTAGTTCTCTCCTTCCACCATGTGGTTTCCAGGGATTGAACTCATGTCTTCAGGCTTGGGGGTAAGAGTGAACCATCTCACAGGTTCCCATAGTCTGTATTTTAAAAGAAGGTATGCAAATCAAAGGGTTACCTTCTGGGAAGAGCAAGGGGACTAGGGGAAGGGGGGCAAGAGCCAGTAATGGGAGGGTGAATGTGCTCAAGAGTGCACTACATATGTGTGAAAATGTCATGACCCCATTGTTTTAGATAATACATACCAATAAAAAACAGTATATAGTAGAAAAACAGTATCAGAGTGCTATTGTCCGTTTTGGTTTCATATACATGCTTAGTGCTTTAACCCTTTCTGAATTTTTGATTATGCCAGTATTCTAATCTAGAATATTCTTGCTTGCTTCTCTTAATGTAAGATATATACTTTATGAAGTCATAGCTCTATTATATGTTATCTGTTTCATGAAGTCTTTTCTTGAAATTTGTTTTATTTTCAAGTATATAGTACCACGTGTTCTTTTTTGTTTGTTTTGTTTTTGTTTTGTTTTTGTTTTTGTTTTTTTATGCTCATGAATAAATTTTTATTGAAAAACACTTTCAAAAATGGAACTGGGACAGGCTTTTCTCTTCTCCACAGCATTTTTATAGTGTTGGAAATGTAAACCTTATGGATTATGCACAAAGTACTAGGTTCCAAATGACTAAGTCAGAGACCATGGGCTTCCTTGCTGTATTCCCAACATTCCACTTGGAGCACTAACCATAAATGAGTTAGAAAATGAAAAGACGAGAAGGGATTTATTCTCTGCTAAGTCTAAAGGCCTGCAGCTCTTAGACTTCCTCTACAATGTTCAGTATCTTCTAGATTATCAATAGAGCAAGGTCCCTAGAGTCACATCTTACTGTACTGTTGCTTGGTGAAATGTCTATCTCCCTTTTCTTCATGATTATGCTCCCAGAACACGTGTTCTTTTTTTTAATTTATTTAAAATTTCCACCTCCTCCCATTCTCCCATTTCTGTCCCCCTCCCCCACCCCCCCTCCCCCTCACTCTCCAGTCCTAAGAGAAGTCAGGGAGCCCTGCCTTGTGGGAAGTCCAAGCCCCCCCCCTTCCTAGAAATGTGTGCATCCAAACAGACTAGGCTCCCAAAAAGCCAGTACATGCAGTAGAATTAAAATCCAGTATCATTATCATTGGCTTCCCAGTCCACCCTCATTGCCAGCCACATTCAGAGAGTCTGGTTTGATCACATGCCCATTCAGACCCTGTTCAGCTGACCTTGATGAGCTCCCACTAGATCAGTTCCACAGTCTCCGTGGATAGACGCACCCCTCACAGTCCTAACTTCCTTTCTTGTATTCTCCCTCCTTCTGTTCTTCATCTGGGCTTTGGGAACTCAGTCCAGTGCTCCAATGTGGGTCTCTGCCTGTATCTTCATCCCTCGCCAGATGAAGATTCTATGGTGATATGCAAGATATTCATCAGTGTGTCTATGGGAGAAGGCCAGTTCAGGCACCCTCTTCTCTGCTGCCCATGGACCTAGTTGGGAAAATCCCCTTGGACACCTGGGAACCCCTCTAGAGCCAAGACTCTAGCCAACCCTAAAATGGCTCCCTTAGTTAAGATATCTTCTTCCCTGCTCCCATATCCACCCTTCCTCCATCTCAATTATCCCATTCCCCCAAGCTCTCCCCAATCCCCCACTTCTCTCTTCTCTCTCCCCATCTCCCCTTCCCCCCAACCCACCCCAACCCCCCTGCTCCCAACTTTTGCCTGGCGATCTTGTCTTGTTTCCAATATCCAGGAAGATAACTATATGTATTTCTTTGGGTTCACCTTCTATGTCCTGTTTTTCTAAGGAGTTTACCAAAGTTATCTGAATATCACAATACTTAAAGTACTTATCACATTAACTCTGCCAATAATAGGTACTTAGTAATCATTTATTATCATTATTGATGGATTGTAGAAGTAGTAGAAGGAGTCATATATAGTTCTGTAATATTCCTGGAGACACTGTGCCTAACTTTATTATCTGTTTTTGTTTTGCCCAGGGCATTAAACCGAGGGCTGCACACATATTAAGCATGGCTTGTATCAGTAAGCCACAACCTCAGTCCCTTTAATTAGCATTTTCAGAGTGTTTTTGTTAGTAAAATAATGGATCATAGCGTGCCATTTTCATTTTCACAAATTTGTATCATTTTCTTTGTTTATCTCTTCACTCTGCTCTCTTCAGTCCCTCTTAGAGTTTGAAGAAAGGTTAATGAGAAAAATACCATATTTGTGCTCTTTTTGTTTTTAACTGGATAAATTTCCATGACAAATAAAGGCTATATAGGTATTTTGTTTCCTTTTAAAAATTATAAAAATAATTGTTTACAATGGCTTTTATAATTGTATCTTTATCAGGTAGGTAGAGATCCCTCAATTCACATATGGGATACAGAAACCATTAAACCATTGTCTATATTAAAGGGCTACCACCAATATGGCATCTGTGCAGTTGATTTCTCAGGTAAGACTCTTCTATCTCAAAAAGAATGATCAAAACACAGAGGGAATATATAGTGTTTAAATCAGTGTTTACCTAAGCTTGCTATTTAACTATGACCTTCACGGTTTTTATCAAGTGTGCATACTGTTCTAACCAAATGATGATCAAGCTAGGCTTTCTGGCTTGTTTATAATTACAATGTAATGACTATAGCTATAAAGCCTTTTTTAAATGTTCATGTTAATATCAGCATAAAAATGGTTTTGTGCAAAACACCTAAAATTGTCGTGGTTACTCTTGTAATATGTACCTTCCCTTTGGGCAAATTTTGATGTTAATCTTTTACAGCTTTAAAGTAAACTTTAAAAATGTTTAGTGTGAATGAGATGAGACTGTTTCCTAGGTGTCTATATTAAGTAGCAGTTTCAGTGCATCTTATAATTTTACTTCATGGGATCAGTTTAGCAACTACAGATATACCTACAGTGAAACCTGGTGTGTGGATTGGAATGAAATATTTTATTGAAGAAGTATATATTATGTGTTTTTGTTGCTTTAACCAAAGTCAGTTATTCATAAATAAGATTTAGGGGGAAATCATATGTACACATATATTTTCAAGAATACTAATGGTCAAGAAACAAGAAAATGTAAAGCAGATTGAGTGGATCAACAACAAAAACATCACTGGTAGCACTGAACAAGTAAGATTTGCAAAAGCGAGACAGAATGGAAAAGGTTCGTTTACACTTTGAACCTTATAAGCTGTAAACACATACACTTCTGTCAGTATGTTTCATGTCATTTTCTTCAATATTGTTTGATAACAGTGACAACTGAAACTTGGCCTTCACTAAAGCAGCCACACTGGTGACAGCATAACCTAGATGTTTTTCATTTTACGTACTTTTCATCGTCACTGAGTTTTTATGTCACAACAGAGTTCTTAATAGTGAATTTAATTGAAATAGATGTGTTTTCTCTTAATTATTTAATAATATGTTATTTTCTTAATACAGATTTTGGTTTTATTTTTAATTGACTTATAATAACTGATTATGTTGATGGGGTATATGGTGATTAATGTGTGTGGTGCCAGCAATGAATCTTAAGACTTTACATATACCAAACAAGTGCTCTAGCATTGAACTACCCCCAGGCTCTAATATGATGTTGTGATACAGGCATATATTATGTGCTAATTACCTCACAGAATATTTAGGATATCCATCTTTTTATACATTTCCTACCCGCCCCCAGCCTTCCTCTTCTCAACCTGATGAATACATAAAGTAACTTAGGTCAAGTATGGTAATAATTCAAAAACCCATTATCCCAGCTTGGAAAATGCCTCTATGAGTAAAATTACTTTCTGCCTGAGCCTGACAACCTGAGTTCAATCACTAAAACTCGCATGAAGGTGGATGGAAAGAACCACCTTCATATAGTTGTCCTTCGACTTACACACACACACACACACACTGCTCTCTTCTAAGTTCTGATTCATTTCATGGCTGTATACATTACTTTTTCAAGTTTTAAGTATAGTGCTATAGCCTATACTATATTAGTGAAAATTTTCCATTGCTATAACAAAACACCTTAAGGTGAGTCCTAATAAAAGCAGAGACCTAGATAGCTCAGTTATAGAAACTGAAAATTCAAGTCAAGTGATTCCACTGATTCTACTTGTGGCAAGAGTCTTTTTGGCTGTGTCACAACATAACAGACAGCATCATGATGGGAGTGAAAGAGTACATAAAGCAGTATATGCTATGGCTTCAGACACCATAGTTGTCGAAGCACAGACCCTTCCAGCCAAAACCATAAATCAGCAGGCTGAATTAATAGCTCTTACCATGCCTATCAATTAGTAAAGGGACAATCCCTAAAGCTATATACAGACTACCAGCCTCCATTCTCAGAAGAATGAGACCTCATACACCTGTCAAGACTCAAGCCTAATCCTATTGGGTTGTGCCCTACTTCTTCTCCTCCTATTTCTTTCCACTTACTCCTATAGCTAGCGGACGCTGTCTGTGGAGATTTGAGGTTCAGGAAGCATAATATATCCAGCAGTTCAACCAGACCACTCATGTAGTAGAGTCTTGAGACTGCTCACCAATAGGTTGCCAAAAAAGAGATACTTATCCCTATAACACCAAAATGGATTGCTAGGGCACCTGTCCCCTATGCCTGCTCTCTGTGATCAAACTAGAGATTAATGTCAGCACAGGCCAGAAACCTAAGGAGGCTGTCCTTATTGGTCCTATAAGAGACATAATGCATATTCAGAAAAACACTCTGCCTTTATAAAGAACAGGGAATCTTTATACATCATAGTTAATGATCCAGGGCAGCCCAGATGGAAAATGGGATTCATCGGTAAGCATTTATCACATTCACCTAACAGATATACTCAAAATGCAGAGGGTACACATCCTACTCTCTTAACTCCTAGGTATGAACACATTAGAAGAAGTGGTCCAAAGCTCCTTGAAGATCCCTGTATTCTTAATAACACTCTTTTTTGGTGATATTGATCCCACTCCCCCATCACACAATCTCTTGGCTATTGAATAATACTCAGTCTGACCTCTTTGGAAAACGCTGGTTATGTGTCCCTCCAGGGTCAAACTGGCAACCACCATGTGTGGCCTCACCCATTGTTTTATTAAATTCTCTCACCTTACTACTTATTAATTGCTTAGAGTCAAATGTTGCTGCCACCCCTTATCTCTCTCACATTCTTCTTATCTTCAGTATCACAGACTGCTTTAACTCCTCAGGAACACACCTTATGAGCACTCTGGATTCTACAGACTGCAATAATATCATTACCCTTAGTACTATCACCCAACCCCATGTCCAGAATTCACAATGCCTTGATTCTCTGTGGTACTCAAATTTATCACTGCTTACCTGCTAGGTGGTCTGGGACTTGTGCCCTGGTGTTCCTATTTTCTAAATTAGGGGTGGTACCTTGTGAAAAACCCTTGCCAATTCCCACCACCAAGCCCATACTGGCACAGCATAACAAAAGAGCAGTCCAGGTCACACCCTTTCTGGCCACCTTGGCCATAACTGCAGGTGTGGCCACTGGAGCAGCAGGAGTGACTACTTCCTTAGCTGATTACCATCAGCTTTCTTTGCATCTCATCCAGGATTTCCAACAGGTAGCTCTTTACCGTTCAGGCATAAATAGACTTGCTGGCCACCATAGTACTACAAAATTAGAAAGGATTAGATTTACTAATAGCAGAGAGAGGTGGTCTTTGTCTCTTTCTTGGAGAAGAATATTGTTTCTGTGTCAACCAATCAAGTGTAGTGAAAGATAGGATTTAACAACTCCAAATGGATCTTCAAAAACAGAAAGAACTTGATACTTCTACCCAGTGGATCACTGATAGTCAGGATACCTTTCCCTCCAGAGTCATAGGTATCCAGAATACCTTCCCTTCACAGCTGTAGGTACAGCCAGACTTCCCGACAGGCCAGGATACTTTTCCCTCCAGACTATAACACTTGCATTAGTGAGTGCAAAAGGAAAAGATAACATGTTAGGAAGCCAGGGAGATTTAAGGGTTGTTTTTATTATAACAACCATTACAATAGAGCTAAGTCTTCCTGAGAGAGCATTATACCTTTTTTAGGGGAGAGCACTAAGTATTTAATCCCCTCACACCAGGCCCATATCTTGACTGTTCTGTCATCTTACATCATCATACTGGGAGCTGAGCATGTGAGACTTAGGATGGAGGGCCTATTCAAATGAGAGCCCATGGCTCTAGAAAACACATTAAATGGTTTTGGCTTCAGAATCTCATCTTTTTGGTTGTCACAGCCGATGGGAAACGCCTAGCTTCAGTTGGAATAGATGACAGCCACACCATTGTACTGTGGGACTGGAAGAAAGGGGAGAAACTTTCAGTGGCAAGGTAGGGAGAACCCTTACCGTGCTGGTAAAACCCTAATGTTTCCATGTACTGCACTTTTTTGAAGTCAAGCTAATATGTAAGATTTTTATGATTATCAGCTTTTATTACCTTTAAATAAATATAATCAAGCTAAAAGATAAATGATTTTATTATTTCTTTGTAGGTTTAACCCCTGTGTACCCATTTTTAATGTGCCTTAATAGGACATTGGAAATTACTATTTCAATTTGCAATAACAAAGAGTGTATTCTATTAAAGACTATTATATACCAACTTGGAAGAATGGTAAAATGCTCATACATTTTATTGAGAAATATGTACATATATCAAAAAAGAAATTATATGTTTTTCTAGTATTTTTCTTCATTTCTGTCTTCTAAACTGAGCGTGATTTGGTTTATAATAAAACATTGACAGTGCTTTGAAGGGAGAAGTAGCTAACAGTGTTGGAGGTTACATTTTAAGTTTGTTACTCCCTCAAAGAGAGATGTGAAAATACTTAAAATATGAATACTTTTGCAGAGTATATAGATGATATTTAAGGATACAGTAGTTGAAAGGAACTTTGAGGGGCTGGTAAGATGGTTCAGTGGGTAGAGGCACCAAACGTAACCTCAGTTGATCACCAGGGCCCGTATCCTGGAAGGGGAGAAATGATCCCTGCAAGTTGTCCTCTCACTTCTGACACATATATTATAGAATAAATACCTTTTTTCCCCAAAAACATGTACTAAAAGGAACATTCAAGGGTATGCTAAATTGTCATGAATTGCTGTTTCAAAATTTCTTTAATTCCGGTCATAGACAGCATTCTCCAGGCACAGTACAGTGAGTCTCATGGGTACTATCTAAGTGAAGTTCTGTTTTCACTGTTATCCTGTCTAGAGAATCTGCTGAGCAGGTTAACCTACATGGTGACAAATGTACAAATGAATGATTTCACAGCCTGAATGCCAGAGACTAGCAGAAAACAACTGTCTAGAGGGTGGAAGGTTCTAGCTACGAAGTGGGTTGTCTTGAGATCGATTCTCTACAGAACTAAAGCATTCTGGTTCATTTCAGAGGCAGTAAAGATAAGATTTTTGTTGTGAAGATGAACCCCTATGTGTCTGATAAACTAATTACAGCTGGGATTAAACACATGAAGTTTTGGCGTAGAGCGGGTAAGGAAATGTTCCTTTTAACTCTTTTAAAATGCTAAAAACCATTACTTTTAAAGTAATTTAGCTAAGTACAATTGGTGTGCTGGACTGGATCTTGGGATAGAGAAGGAAAGTTTTTAGAAAGCTAAAATCTGAATAAGGCCTGATGTTCAAATTAATGGCACTGTGTAAATGATGTTGGTTTCTTAGTCTTGACAAAGGGACAGTGATGTTAATATGTTAGTATTTAGGGAAACTGGATAACGGATTATGCAGAAACACTGTTATTTTACATCTTTCTGTAAATCCAACATTATCCAAGATAACCTCATGGGTGGGAGGGGTCATAGGTCAGGGGTAGAATGCATTCCTAGCATTTCTCAGGCTCTGGTTGATCACCACCATCTAAAAGAAAAAGTTTTATTTTTAAAGGATGCTCTTGTCTTGGTACATTTTTTAAAAAAAGGTGCTTTAACCTGTGGGATTAATCAGTTAATGTACAGATTTCTCCCTTTTATAGTCTAAACTAAAATTTAAAAAATTCATAAAAGTGCCTTGTATGCTATAAAGTAATACAGAAATACTGTTGCTTTAGTCATTTGTAACTATAAATCACAAATTTGGAATAAACTTCCTTTTGCCATTAAAAACACCTCTTTTTCAAGTAGAATAGTATATTTATGTTAGCAATGTGGCATTGAAATCTCAATGAACTGAAAACTTTCAGAGAAAATGCTTAAGTGTAAGAAGTGAAACATCAGAAAACACCAAACTTTGTGGTAACATTTCCCAAATTCACCTGACTTCCAAGTTGTGAGTTATATGGGACGTGAAGTAATGGTTCATATTTGTATTGAATGCTGTACCAGAGACTAAATAAATCATAGTGTTTACAATTATGAAGTGAATAGAACTTAGGGTTTCATTTCCCAAGCTTTAAACAAGCTTTTCATTTGGCCATATTACTTAGAACTGAAAATGCCTACTGAGTAGTACTTGAGAACACACACACACACACACATGCACACATATGCATGCTCACATCCCTTATCTACATATTTGTTTGAAATAAGAGATTTAAAGAAAGTAAATACTAAGCAGCTGGAAAGATGGCACAGTGGTTGAGAGCACTTGCTACTCTTCCAAAGGACCCAAGTTTAAAACGCCCACAAGACTGCTCACTGGTAGGGGATCCAGCGCCCTCTTCTGGACCTCTTGAGCACTGCATGTACGCAGTGCAAAGGTATACATACATATAAGCAAAATACAAATGCCCATAAAGAATTAACTTGTCACAGACTCCCTTCAATTATAAAAAAGAAAAAATAAAGTAAATATATATCTTAAAAATTTTTAGTTGAGTAACATTTTTTCGTAACATTATCTAATCGCCTTGGAACTGAATCATAAGTGGATAAATGTTAAGGTTTGATGTGTATTTTCAATCTTCCATATTTTCAGAGGTCAGATCCCCAGAGTTCATTAGACAAGCAAAAGTAATTCCTGTCTTCTTTAAGTCTTATCTAACCTTTTGCTTGCATGGTTTTGGACAAATTATTAGTTGAAGTGGAGCTAAACTGGATTCTCATGCTATTTTATCTCAAGTTTATATTTATTTGATACTGTGTACATTTTGAAAGCAACACTTTCACATTTGTTTTTTATGAATCAGGGGGAGGATTAATTGGAAGAAGAGGCTACATAGGCTCTCTGGGGAAAAATGACACGATGATGTGTGCAGTGTATGGATGGACTGAAGAGATGGCTTTTTCTGGAACATCCACAGGAGATGTGTGCATCTGGAGAGATGTCTTTCTTGTAAAAACAGTTAAAGCCCATGATGGGCCAGTGTTCAGTATGCATGCATTGGAGAAAGTAAGTAACCTAAAGTAATTTTAAGTTAAATACAGTTATCATAGAAGGAACACTGGTTTGTACTTGGCTACCCAACTATTGTCTGTGTTTTTCTTTCTTTACAAATCCCTAAATATGATATGAGATAGGTATGCTGCATAAAAACATGTTTTAAATGTCACATAGTGGCACATGCTTGTAACCCCAGGACTCAGAAAATGAATGAAGGAAGATCATAAGTTCAAAGTCATCTTTGGATGAATAACTAGTTCAAGGATAGCCTGAACTACAAGAGACCTTGTCTAAAAATAAAAATAACAAACAAAAAGCTTTTGCTAGAAGTGGTGACTCATGTCTGTAATCTCAGCACTCAGGAGAATTGGAAGTTTGAGGCTAGCCTGGACTATAAACAGAGACTTGTTTCAAAAAGAAAAAGAAAGAACGAAAGAAAGGGCTGATGAGATGGATCAGCATGTAAAATACTCACTGCACAAGCCTGACAGCCTGGATTCAGCCCCTGGCACCCGTGGTGGAAGGAGAGGGCCAACCTGCAACAGTTGCCCAAATTTTTATTATGAAAGAAAGGAAAATGAAACCTTACTATATTAAGGCCCTGCTATGTGTCAACATTATGCTAAGTGCTCTCTGTATAATCAGATGCTATTCAGTACCGTTGCTGTTCTTTCTTTTCCAGGGTAAAGTAGGAGACTTTGGAAGGATGTGTGATTGCTGAAAGTGGCAGTCATAGCTCATCACCCACTTTAGAAACTGGTCTTTTGGCATCCTATCCTGTTATCACTATAAATATCTTTATAGATTCTGTGTTGATGTTTGGGAACTATAATAAATGCTTATACTAATCCCTGTTACTCAGAAGCTGTGACTTTCATCTACATTCTTTTCTCTATAGTTTTTTTCAATATAAAGCAGGTAATTGTTTTTGACAAACTTTGGTCTTTACTAACTGGGACTCTTTGTTTTTTATAGGGATTTGTAACTGGAGGAAAAGACGGTGTAGTAGCCCTTTGGGATGATTCCTTTGAAAGATGTCTTAAAACCTATGCTATAAAAAGAGCTGATTTAGCTCCAGGATCTAAAGGTGATTTCACATTTAGTCTATTGTTCAGGAAAAGACTAATTATTCATCAATATGCTCGTTCACTGAAGTGGAACACAAGAAATATATTTCCTTTTTTTGATGAGCATTAGAATTGCATAGAAATCACTTAACTAGATACCAGAATCATCCTATTCCTTTCTCTGTGTACTTGATGAAATACGAACTATGATGCCCTTAACATTTAACTTTTGCATTTATCGGCATTCAAGAGCTTGCTGTCAGGCTGCATTTTGAGTTTACCTCTCAATCCTGACAACCTGAGTTCAGTCCCTGGAACCCACAGTGGAAGGAGAGACCTGTGCTGATCTCCTCTCTAGCCGTGCAGGTCTTCCATTGTCTTTTATTTGCTCATTTCTTCCTATTAGGGATGATGCCACAGTCCCACCAATCATGAAGTCTTTCTGCAAGCTTTTACTTGTTCCTAGAGTTTGTTACTCTCTCCAATGACAGAACCACATGCTCACTATTCAGATCTCAAACAGGATTTATTCTAAATGACTTCATCCTCACTTCCTTCTTTAGGAAGTTTAATTGCCTTCTTAAATTCTCCTTTTCTAATAACCTCCTCACACAAGATCTGTTGCAAGCACTAGATCTGCCATGCTTGCCAATACATTACTGAAGACTGCCTAGGACACCCCAGGGGAAGAGATATATCTTACACTGAATTAGAATTCCTGGCTTGGATTTTATAACTAACCTAAGGGAAACAGAAAGAAGATGATTTGCTAATGTATGAGGCAAAGAAGTAGTTATCAGAATGGTAGTGTGGGATCTGGATAGAACAGAATTCTATGTTGTTATGCTTATTCTGAGATTAACAAGTTGAATGATTAAAGAAAATAGTGTATTACTAGAATTTCTTAAATATAAAAAGACAACTTCATAATGTGATTTTTACTACCCAAATAGCATCAGTTGGAAAATGTCAATTCTGGAATTATCTTAACTTCATACCTACAAGAACTTTTCTATTTAACATTTCAGGTCTGCTCTTGGAAGATAATCCATCTATACGTGCCATATCATTAGGACACGGTCATATTTTAGTTGGCACAAAGAATGGTGAAATATTAGAAGTGGATAAAAGTGGCCCAATAACACTTTTGGTCCAGGTACTTTAAATACTGATATGCACTTTTTCCTTTGAAGTTCATGTTTTCATTCAGAATATGAGAAGCAAAATTGACACTGCTGAAAACAATGCAAAATGAGTTAGGGAAACATTTCTTAATGTTAATATAAACAGAAAATTAGTTCAGTGATTAGACATAATCAATAAATTGTTCTCATGTAGAATTATTGCCAATATTTAGGTAAAACTTTATCACTGATTATTAAATCAATGGGACAAAAGCTAGTTATAATATATTTGATTTAGAGGTTTATTTCATGTTTCATTTTACTTTTTGGGGAGCATTTGTTAAACATGGGATATTTATTTTTCTGAAACTCTTTGGTTAAGTATGTCTTAAGCTTATAGCTTACAGAAGTGGAAAAGGAGAGCATGACTATATACTAAAATTGTGTTACTGAAAGTATTTATCAGTGAAAAGAAGCTAGTGGAAATTCAGAAATAACCTTTTTTCAAAAACTGAGTCTCACTGTGGTTTGGAACTTGCTGTGTAGACTCAGAATCTTGGAGATCGACTTGCCCCTGCTCTTGTTTCTGCCTCCTTTCTTAATACAGGCATATTTCTTTAATTCTCTTCTTCATTCTTGTTAGGACACCAAAGAGTACACACAGAGCACTGCTCATGCTTTATTTGGTGCTTTATTGTATCTTTGTTGTTGTTGGGGTTTTTGTTTTTGTTTTGTTTTGTTTTTTCGAGACAAGGTCCCCCCACCCCCGTATTACTTCTTCATTTGCAGCTGGCTAAAAGACCATCATCTCTACCCTAAATTTTCCATTAAGGCATTGAATCTCTTCTTGGAACTGGAATCTAAGAAGATTTCTTCTTAGGTTTTATGGAGACAAGGTTTCTCTTTGTAACAGTGTAACAGTCCTTGCTGTTTTGGAACTAGCTGTTGTAGACCAGGCTGGAGTCAAACTCAGAAATCCTGCCTCTGCCTCCTGAGTGCTGGGATTAAAGGCGTGTGCCACCACTGCCTAGCTGGTGCTTTATTGTTAATACCCTGTGAATGAGATTGTGTAAAAGGTAAAATGTGTATTAATAATAGCTTATTAATTTCACCTACATAATATATCTTTGAAATAAAAACATACTGAAGTTATTATGAGGTTACTGGTGTGTGTGTGTGTGTGTGTGTGTGTGTGTGTGTGTGTGTGTGTGTGATGGGGAGAGTGTGTGTCTATGTAACTCTAATTGGCCTTGCACTCATGATATTCCCCCTTGGGTCATTCGTTACATACCTGGCTAATCATGGTACTTCACCTGTTTATGAGAACTCAGATGGTATTACTACAAATACTCTTTTTATTTATTTATATTATGTATACAATATTCTGTCTGTGTATCTGCCTGCAGGCCAGAAGAGGGCCCCAGACCCCATTACAGATGGTTGTGAGCCCCCATGTGGTTGCTAAGAATTGAACTCAGGACCTCTGGAAGAGTAGGCAATGCTCTTAACCTCTGAGCCACATCTCCAGCCCCCTAAAAATACTCTTAAACGTGAATACAGAATAATTACTTTTTAATTTTTCACAGAAAAAAATTTAGAAATCATAAATGATATCTGTTGACAAAAAAATTGTGTGGGGTGGGGAGGTGAGAAGAGTTGGAGAGGAGATAAACATCAAAATACATTGTTTGTGTGCATGACATTCTCAAAGAGTAAATGAAAATATGTAAAAGAGAGAGGAAATTTTAGATAAAACAAACTAAATAGGCTTATTTGAGTACTAAAGTATTTGTGCAGTGAACCACACTCAGAATCAGAGGAATCCAGGGAGATGTGCCTCAGTATAGGAGCAAGCTCTTGGCAGTTCGGTGCAAAAGACAGAGATCCACTTGGTTAGAATTGTTAAACCTTAGCTTGACATTATTGGCAGTTTGTAATTGTCAGATTCTCTGATTAGAGTCCATTGATGGCTTCTGTTTGGCAAAATATCTAGTTTCATATTAGTGTTTATGTTGGCTTTCAGGATGCTTACATAGCACCTAAAGTGTGGTGCTGTCCTAATGGCCTCCTAAGTAAAATTGTTCTCAAAACATCTTTTTGGAAAATGTGCTAGGAATTTAGGCCAGGGTCTCATGCATGCTGAATACATACATATTCTACCACTGAGTCACACCCCAAGCCATCATATTATTATTATTTTATTATTATTTTTATGTTTATTATAAGGTAAAATTTTAATGTCTTTTTCACTTCCTTACATGGTGATTCCTAATAGCTTTGCCTTGGCTGTTATTATCTAAGCGTGTGGTAAAAGCTTAGTGAGTCCAGTGAGACTAGTCAAGAAAAGGTTTAATTGTTGGAAATAAGCAAAGCAGTAGGAATTTCAGCTGTAACAACTGTGTGCCTTGGATATTAAATTAAGAAATTAAAACTGAGAGAGCCTCTGTAATATGAGTTTAAAAATGAACATAAAGAAATTAGTTGTATTTCTTTATACTATCAATACAAATAAAATATTACTGAAAATACTATTCATAAAATAAAACTATACAATATTAGTATTTTCTTTTTTACTATTTTTACATGTATTCATTGATTTGGGGAACAATGCACATGGCAGGTGTGTGGAAGTCAGAGGACAACTTGGGGTGTTAAGTTCTCGTCTTTCACCATGGGGTCTAGTAATCAAAATCAGATTGTCAGGCTTGCGGGTGTGTCTGATCCTTCCCATTGGTTATTCCAATAATTGGGAATTTTAGAGTTAAAATATGGAAGACCTGCTCTAAGAAAACTATTACATTTTAATAGTTAATAAAATAGTCTAATAAATATATAAGAGATCTAAATAAATTATAGATTCTGTATGATTATAATCCATACTTTGATAAGATTTTTACATAATCTTCTCTTTAAAAAGTACCTAGAAAGGAAAATAAGAATAAAGAAGAAAGTGTTGATACACTGTCCATGATAGAAATATAGAAAACACAAATTTATATTAACTAAAAATTAATATAATTTTTATTATTATATTCCTATATTATATATAGGAACGTGTATCCCTAACAGGATGTTAAGACAACAGTGTTTGTAGTAGTACTGTCTGTTGATCAGTCTGGGGATCTGTCCTAATGGGGGCAAGTTCTCATGAACACGAAATAGCTCTTAAGTCACTAAGATCTCTAAGCACTGTGAGCAAGTTTCTGTGGTTTTCATTGTGTAGCCTTATTAAAAGCTTTTTCCTATTTTTTGATGCTGTTTTAAACAGGATTTTCTTATCTTATTTTCAGATCATTCTTTGCTAGTGCATAGAACAGTTGATTTTGTACACAGCCCATGAATGGAAACTTAGGTCCTTTAGACTTGCTAATTTTGTTTATTAGTTCTAATGTTGCAGTAGATTCTTTATAATTTTTTAGATACAAGATCTTGTCATCAGTAAATAATTGATTCACTTCCTTGTGTCAGTTCTGGGTGGCTGTTACTTCTTTTTCTTGGCTAGTTGCCCTGGCTAAAACTTGTAACATGAGGGGTCTGCTTTGTTGGGGTTTCTGTCCTGCCCAGTTCCCACATTCAGTGAACTTCCCAAGGAAAATCACACAGAGGTCTTCATAAATTATAAACTGATTGACCCATTAGCTCAGGCTTTGTATTAGCTCATATCTTATATTAGCCCATTATTGTAGTATATGTTAGCCACATGGCTCAGTACCTTTTTCACCGGGGCAGGTCACATCCTGCTTCTTTGGTGTCTGGACAGGACTGCAGAGGAATGGGCTTCCTCCTGTTCTCATTGCCCTGCCTCTACTTCCTGTCTGGTTGTCCCACCTATATTTCCTGCTTGGCTACTGGCCAATCAGCGCTTATTTAAAACATAATTGACAGAATACAGAATTGTCCCGCACCAAAAACTTCCATTGTAACACTAAATATAAGCAGTGAGAACAGATATTATTGCTTCTGTTCCTGGTCTAAGTAAAGCTTGACGCTATCAGCTACTAAGTGTGATATTCACTGAAGGAGATTCCCTCCCTTCCTCTGTTGTTTCTTTCTTCTCTCCCTCCTTTTCCTCCCTCCCTACTTCTCTCTCTCTCTTCCCTCCCTCTCTCCCTCCTCCCCTCACTCTCTCCTCTCCTTCCTTTTTTCCCTCTTTTTCCCCCTCCCTCTTTTCCTTCCTTGTTCTCTCCCTTTTTTCCTCCCTCCTTTCCTTCCTTTCTTATTTTGAGACATAGTTTTGTAGGTTATCCTGGCTTGCCTGGAACTCACTATGTAGAATAGGCTGGCCTTGAATATGCAGCTATCCTCTTGCCTCAGCTTCCTGAGTGATGATAAAATAAGCATGTAGGTTTTTCATAATGAAATTGTAGGTTTTTTACAAATGCTCTTTGCTAAGATTGGGGAATCATGATTTAATTTCTAATTTATTAAGTGGTTTAAATCATGGGCCAAGAGGGATTTGTCAGATTCTTTTTCTGTGTCTATTAGATGCTCATGGTGTTTTGATCTTCATTTTGTGACACTCATTACCTTAATTGATTTTGAGGATTGACAGCCTTGCTTTCCTAGTTGCAGTGTATAATTGTTTTTACATGTGGTAGATTCTGTTTGTTAATATATTGTAGACGATTTTAGTAATCCTGGTTAGAGAGTTATTGCTTTGTATTTTTCTTATCTGGTTGTGGTTTCAGGCTTTATAAAATGATTTGTAAATTAGTGCCACATGGTTTAAGAAGAAAGCCAGAAAACAAAAACCCCTAATCTCTTCATAAAGAAACTGACCTTATAGCAGAATACAGAAAACAATCCTCTCTAAATGTGCTCTCAAGAACAGTAGAGTTTCATAAACTCAGATGGTATGCTAATCAAAAACATAGACCAGTCAGTTTGCACAGAGGCAAAATCTCAGAATCAGGCTCTGGAGTTGAGTATAAGGACAAGAGAAGGCTTCTGGGTCTTACAGGCTTTAGAAAGTAAATACATGCAATGAAAAAGAGACAGTGATCTCAGGTCTTCTTGAGTTCCAATGGGGCTTCTTTATTCTCAGTAGCACTCACTCGAAGTAGAGTTGACATCTGGAACAGGGACTGGGGGAAAAGGAGTTTATGCTTGTCAGCTGTGCACATCAAGCATCTATCCTCCAACAGGCAGCTGGTTCAGGTGGAGAGATCTATATGCTGCCTATCCTGGGAAGCTGACCCTCCAACCAGGAGTTGGGGACAAAGCTAGGTTTCTTGGTTGCAAGAGTCTGTGTTGATTTCCATGTGGATGAGCTGTGACCAGTGAAGAGGTACTGAAATCCAGTACATATGCCATCACTATATTGACCAAATTCTAACAGATTTTCTTCAGTAAATTTTCCTTCATTTGTTCTAGTTCCTTGAAATCATGTCAGGGCTTTACTGAACTTGGATCTCTTTATCAGTTTAACTGGTGAGCTGGTCTGTGGAGTTCCTTATCTAATTCACTTATTTTCAGGTTACGCTGAGATTAACTGTGTTTTCTTTATAGGGACACATGGAAGGAGAGGTGTGGGGTTTGGCCACACATCCTTATCTGCCCATCTGCGCTACTGTAAGTGATGATAAAACCTTAAGAATATGGGATCTCTCTCCTAGTCATTGTATGTTGGCAGTCCGGAAACTGAAAAAGGGTAAGAGGCTCTCAGACTTGAACAAAGATTAAGCTGTCACAGTCTTCTGACATTCACAAAGATCCTCTTGTAAAGGATTGGTGAAAATTCCTTCATTTCCCTTGTGCTGAACTCATGACATTCCAAGGGCAGAGTCATGAGAGAGGTCCAAGGCAGGGTGATTTTATTCATTTTTTTTTAACTGTTGCTTAACTTTTCTTTAACAATGTAATACCCTTTGGAGTGAAGTATTGCCCTCTCTGGTCCAGTAGTATGATCTTATTTTGATAGTTTACTTCATTTTGAATTCTTGTAATTTGCTTCTGGAGCTCTTGGTGTAGATGACATTATTTGGGTTCCGCTGCTCTTCTGCTTTTCCTTACAGTTCTGTAGTTTAACAGCATTGGGCATGTATCTGGGTTTACTTGGATTCATCCTGCTCTATGCTTCCTAAGTTTGTGACCTTTTATTCTGTGTTAATGTTGAAAAATTGTCTGTCAATGCTAGTGGTTTCCACTAGGAGTATTGTAATTTTTAAAAAGCACTATGAGAGAAAAGATGCCATGCAAAACCGAGTTCACATGGAGGGTTTTTTTTTTTATTAGTGAAAAGGAGGGGAGGGAAGAGACCAGCCTCTGGAAACAGGAGCAACAGAAGAGAAAAGAGAGGGAGGAAGGGAGAGGGAGAGAGAAAGGGAGGGGGAGACAGAAAGGCAGAGAAGCAGAGAGAGAGAGAAAGGAACACACACAAACATACAGAGGGAGAGAGAGGAGAGAATAGGAGGTGGACACGGTTCACCTTTTAAAAAGGAACATAGTGAATGTGCACAGGAGATGCTCTTAGTGGCTGTAGCTGAGGATATATCCTGTCAGGACCCCAAGGGTAGGCCAGTACAGATGCCTGAATGCTCACAAGGAGTACTTCTTTGCATTAGGTTATAGGCAAAATTTATGATTCTGTGCTTGTGGATTTAAATAGTTTTACTTAGTATCTTTATTCAGTATTAGTTCAAGAGGGGGAGTTGATTTTCCTAATTTACAAAGGATGTGTGTGAACTTCCTCTTTTGAGACAAAATCTCACTGTGCCTTCCTAGCTATCCTCAAATTCACAGAGATCCATCCACCTCTGTCTCCTGAGTGCTGGGATTAAGGGTATGAGCCATAACACCTGGTGGTATTTGTGACTACTGATTATGTTAATATAATAAGATTACTGATGTCACATAGAGTTAATTATGAGACAGTGATGGAAGTGGGCTCTCATAAGAAAAGTTTTTGACAAATGACTCAGTTTTATAGTAATCAGAGAATAAACAAAAGTATAGATACACAATATGGCCTAATGTTTACAGTCTTTAAAGTCTAAGAAATGAATATATTGTGAATATTTACCAGCCTTTTGCACTTCTTTTTGTAATGATACATTGGAAAGCTCCTGTTAACAGCTTTAGTGTGCTGCTGACCACCTGCAATCTCAATAGAGCTGGTGTGACTTAAAGTTTCAGGCTAGCCGATGCTGTACAGTAAGACCCCATCTCAAAAACAAACAAATGAAAAACAACAGTTCTTATATCCTGCAGTTGTAGTTTTTAATTATAATCAATTCTGGATTTTTATGGAATTGCTGTTTCTGGATTCTTGCTATCATTCCATGTCTTCCTTCATTTCATGTCCCCCACCTTGTAGCCCCACATCTCTGTAGATCTCTAGTGATGAACCATCCCGGTCCAATATTTAATCTGTTAGCTCATTTTAATAATTGTCATTTTTCTACATCAAAATCAAGAATCATGGGTTTTCCCTAGTAGCAGTCTCTGAAAATAATTTCTTAGGCTACCAAGGATATCAATATAGAGAGCTTTGTCTCTGCCTTGTTGTCAGGAACAAAATGGCATATAAAATAGCAGGTTTAGAAAGACCTGGAAATTGGAAGCAGTGTACACGAATAGGTGGCACAAATCTTTTCACCTTCCTGCTGCAGAAAACATTTTTTTTTTCAAGAGGAGCTAGAATGAAGCAGAGTTGTATTTTATTAAGAGATTTCAGTGTGACTTTAAGCACGGGGCTTAAGACAAGGGCAGTTGGGAGGGAAGAAAGACACACCCAAGAGCATGTTTGCTTCTTAAAGAGAGGCACACTTCATTGTCTTTCCAATAGCTGTATATACCATTTAAGAGAGTTTAAAGCTATTATGCACAAAGAGTTGCTAAGAAACTTTATAATCATCTGGAGATTCCTGAAGGACATGGCAGGTTTATAATCCATAAAGTAAACACTTAGGTCACAGGGATGTAGAAAGATAGAAGCAGTATTCCTGTTTGAGATTCTCAGAGGAATCTGGGAAAACAATAAAGCCTTATTTGAGGTCATATAGGTTTAGGGTTTAAACCTAGTTCATTGGTATTTTAACATTCTTATTTGAAAGTATTTATGAATAAAAGAAACCTTGTCTCTATGTTGAAAGCCTTTAGAGCAAATATGATCCATTGTGTTGGAATTTTTTATTCTTAGCTTGCAAGAGACTTCAAGGGGACCATTTTCATTCTCATGATGCCATAATGTTCCCTGTTTTTGTATCCTGCTTTGTACCCGTGTATCAGCTTGAATATCTGATCTGAATATCTATCTGGTTATAGAGGATGTTTTGTTCTGTCTATATATCCATTTTGCCTCAGCTTCCTCAGTACTAAAGTTATACTGAGCCACCACATTCAGCAGAGAGAAAAGTTGAATTGGATCACATCCCTGCCTCTGTGCCGTGTCATCTAGGACTGCTGTACTGCTATAGCAGAGCTGAACAATTTTGATGGTTATTTTGTGGCTTATAAACATGAAACTCCTTTTGTTCATCTTTGCTCTAGAGCAGTGGTTCTCAACCTTCCTAATGCTCTGACCTTTAATACAGATGTTGTGCTGACTCCCAACTATAAAATTATTTTTGCTGCTACTTCATAATTACAATTTCGTTACTATTATGAATCATAATATAAATATCTGATATGCAGGATATCTGCTATGTGACTCATGTGAAAGGGTCGTTTGGCCCCAAGGGGATTGTGACCCACAGGTTGAGACCCACTGCTCTAGAGACTGCTATATTTTCACCCAAGTTATGAGTCTAGTGACAGACAACACAGGGTGGTTCTGACATTTCTTCAGAAAGATGAGTGTTTCTTTACAAGTAGCTGCTCCAGGTCATATTTCTCAGATACAGAAAGAAGCAAACTATGTGTATTGGCAGAGAGTCTTAGAATTGTGTAAAAGTTTGAGATCTCAATCTTGTCAGAGTCCAACCAAATGTTCACATTCAAAATTTCAGAGTTCTCATTTAGTTTCCCAATTATCACAAAAGAAATGTGGTGAGACTGTGTTATTAAATTGACATTATAATTTACTCCCAAAGTTAAACTTGTGTTTAATTTTTATGGACCATTGGGTGTCAGGAATTCTTTTAAACCTGTGGAAGCTTTAACGATTCTAACTTGTGCTGAACACTTCAAACCTGAGCTGGTTACTTTTCTCTGTAAATGATTTATGCATTCAGAGTCTCTTGCACATCACCTTTTTGTAATCATCATTAGCACAGTGTTCATAGGAGGAGCCACTTGGGCTCCCTAAGGCCTTAAGTAGATAGATAGTCATAACAGTCAGCAGCCGGAGAGAACTTGACTAATTGTGGTTCTTGTCTGTGTTTTCAATTACTGATATTTCATTTCCTGTTGGCAGGGACTCAGACTGCTCAGCCCAAAGGTTATAAAGTGATAACTACTAAAAGGCAGTTAATTACTAAAAGACAGAAGAGAGGATTCTGGAGGGTATAAAAGGAGCAAGTGAAGAAAGCAGATGTACCTGTAAGGGACAGTGGACAATGGAAAAGGAATGAACATAAAGGAAGTAGTGGCCTCCTCAGGATAAAATTCAGTTCTCTTTCAAGGAGAAGGCCTTGTTTCTGCCAGTGGTAAAGGAGTTTACCAGAAGTCTAGGAAAGTTTCTGCTCTAACATCACAGTCATCCACAGCCCCACCTCAATCCCTGAAAATACATCTGCTGGACCACTGCTCTAGAAGAAAGAAGCAAGGTCCCTTTCTTTGTTTCAAGTTTTGGCCTTGCATTTTTCCTGTGGTATTGGGCCAGGGACTACATTAGTGGGGAAGGAATTGTGCAATAAGAATAGTGTATTGAATATGCGGTAAAGGTCAGCACACTGAGCAGTAACTAAAATACTGTCTGCAGTATACGGCTGTAGGAACATGGCTGCAGTTTAAAGTCCTTGTGTGGTTGGTTGTGTGCAGGTTCCTGGCATGTAATTCATGCCGTGTAAAAAAGGGCAGTCCACATTGGCTTCTCTGCAGTGTTGGGATCATATGAACCCCATTGTACATGCAATTTCCAGTTGTACAATTTCTGCCGTGCAAGTAAGGGCCCTGCAAATCATAGTCATGTAAATAAGAGCAGTCCTGACCTATCTAATTCAGTTCTTGTCCTAGTCTGCTTTCTGTTACTGTGATAAAGACCATGACCAAAAGCAACCTGGAGAGAAAGGGCTTTATTTCTGCTCACAGCTGAGTTCCATCAGGAATGATAAAGCAGGACCTGAAGCAGGATCCATGGAGGCGTGCTGCTTGCTGACTCGCTCTCCTGTCTTCCTCGTCTGCTTGATTCCACACCCTAGAACTAGGGCGGCACTACCCACAGTGGGCTGGGCTGCACCCCTCACATCAGTCACCAGTGAAGAAAATGCCCCACAGGCCAATCTGATGGCAGCGTCTTCTCATTTGAGATTCCCTCTTCTCAGATGACTCTATCTTGTATCTGGTTGACAAACTAAGCAACACAACCCTGATCCGAGACTCAGGTCACAGGATAACAGGTTTCAGCTCTGTCATGTCAAGTAGCAGTTTGGGATTCCTGGACAACGCTTGTGGAACGTTCCCAAAGGAGAACGCTATCTGTAGAGGCACTTCTTTTTTTAAAAAAAATATTTATTTATTTATTTTATTAATTTATAAAAGTTTCCACTT